TAAAATTCTAAAAATTTCAATATAATAAATAGATTTTCTAATAGACAAAAATCTTTAACAATATCAAAAAAATTTTTAGACATAATATTCTGTAATTTTAACACAGTGTTAAATTTTTGTAATTTTTTGTATAATATTTTGTAATTTAAATTTTCATAATTTTTTGAGTGTAATATTCTGTAATTTTAACACAGTAATAAATTTCTGTAATTTTTCATATAATATTCTGTAATTTTAATATAATGTTAAATTTCTGTAATTTTTTGAATATAATATTATAGAATTTTAACACAGTATTAAATTTCTGTAATTTTTTGAACATAATATTATGGAATTTTAACATTTTAATAACTTTTGAAAATTTCTGTAAATTTTTGTAATATTATACGAAAAATTATGGAAATTTATCACCATGTTAAAATTACAGAATATTATGTCTGAAAAAATTTCTTGATGATATACATTCATAAAATCACGATTTCATTTCATTCAACTTTTAATAGTACCAAATACTGTTTCAATTGGATTTAAATTTGAAGAATATGGTGGAAGAAAAATTATATGACATTTTAATTCTTCAAGAATATTAATTAAATTTTCATCATAATAAATTATTACATTATCAAGTATAATTATATTATTTTTTCCTAGATAATAATTTATTTGAAGAAGTTAATAATATAAAATATTATATTAGAACATCTTTATCAATAAATATATTATATTATTTTTATTATTTTTATTACTTATCACTTATGAAAGTACAAATTCAGTAAATCATTTTTGATTACAACTTCCTTCTATAATATCTAATGTTATAAACCCATCTAATGTAAGTGCTGAAAAAATTGTATAACTTTTTTCACAAACAAAAACTATATTTTTTCTTGTATATGCATAAATAGAAGAATATCTATAAAGACATGAGAGTGTACGTTCATCTTTAGTACTTTCATCAAGAAAAATTAATTGCTCAAATACATAATTGATTTCAATCTTAACTATAAAATTACTACAAACTAGTTCATTTCTTTCATGTGTAACTTTTTGTAACTATAAAAAAAATATAATTAGATAAAAATATTATAGAATTTATAATTCAAAAAAAAAATAATAGCCTTTTTATAAGTTATATCACAATAGTATAAAGAATGTCAAAGTGCTAATACAGATATAGTTTTTCCAGTTTGATTTTTCATTTCTACTAAAAGTTCATCTAAATACCAGTCAACTTTTTCTTTTACCAATTGTTAAAGTATTTGTAATTCTATTCTTGAAAATTTTTTCTTATATCCTGATACTTCTTTAAATAGATTTATTATACAACCCCATTTTGAAAAAGTTTAAGAATATAATGGACAGTAGGTATACTAATAAATAAAAATTTAGCAATTTCATGTTTATTATAATTTTCATTTTCTAAATAAACTACTCTCCAATATAAATCTTCACTATATGGATGTGACATAGTCTAATAATCTTAGTAATCTTTTGAAATTAGAATTGTAATCTTTATAATCAAGAGGTAAGGTTCATATATCTTATTTTTCAAACTTTGTAAACACGTATGTAAACATGTGGAATATTATAATTTATTATAAAAACTGATTTGTTTATTGATTTGATGAATTTTTATTATAGATTATTATTTTTTAGTCACAGTAGTTACAGTAATTTTTTGTATTACTGATTAACCAAATTAAGATAATTTAGAAAATAGCAATAAATACAAATAAGAATTAAAATAAAATATGAAGATTATAAAGATAGAAAAAACTCATGATAACATTGGATAAATTCGAATATATGAATATATACGAATATATTTGAAAAATATATCTGAATAAATTTGAATAAACAAATATATATGAATATATTTACATATTTATCTAAATAAATTTTAATATTTAATGTAGATAAATATGTAGGTGATCAAATATATCTGAATATATTCAGTTCAAATATATTCAAATATATTTGTTCCCAAAAATTTCCTGATGACCTTTAAAAAATTTTCTTTTATTAATATATTTAATTATAAAATTATTTTTAGTTAAAAAAATTTATTATAATATAAAAATTAATTTTACTTATTAAAAATCTTTTTTTTTATATTTTGTATAAAAATTACCTAAATAATTACTTTTGTAATCTTAGAAAATCTTTTTTCTCTACTAAAAATATATATATTATTATTATTAATAAAATATTCTTTTCTTTACTTTTAAGAAGATCTTAAAAAAGAAATATTTTTAAGGTCAAGTTTTATATATATAAAAAAAGAAGAAAAAAATAGTAATGAAATAATAAATAAATATAAATGTCAAAAGAAAATTAATTAAATAATAGATTTTCAATTTTAATATATAAGAATTTTTCAATTTCAACTAGAGATTTAATATCTAAATGATGGTTACACAATTTTTTATTATAAAATAATTTATGTTGATATATACTATAACTATTAATTTCTATTTTAAATCTATTCAAAATATCTTATTTTCTATTAGCATAATAGAAGTTCATATGAAAAGTATATAACTAGGAAATATGTTATGGATAATATGTAAAACAAAGTATTCTTTAAACTGTAGTAACTTATTTCACTTATTTCACTTAGACATATAATGTATATAAAATATATTTTATATTATATAATAAAATAATTATAAATATTGTGTCCAATAAAATTATATAATCAAAAGTATGAAATTGAGATCTGCAGGAGGTTACACAACACTAATTATTGATCTTTAATGTTACACATTATTCCTTCACTACAGAAATTCATGTAACACATGTAACATGTATTTGTTATCAAAAATAAATTATATATCACATGATTCTTTATCCAATCACAACCTATTTTGATTGTGAATTGCTACCAATTAAAAGTTAAGTCATGCTGATCAACATCGGCCAGCAATTATTTTATGTATTCTATTAAAAAGCGGAGGGGAAGGCCACCTACCACGACCGTGAGCAAGTTCCGCTCAGCATTTGCGGTTTGTCCGATATTACCGACATATATTCAAGACTTCTCGGAATCGTTTGTTCCACAGAAACTTTTTCCTGACGTTTGGACGGCGCGATCTACAAAACGAAAGAAAGTTGCGGTTGAAAAAGAAGGCTCAATAGTAAATATATTAAATAAATACTTAAAATATTATATATATATATATATATATAATCATTTTTTAACAACTAATTTATAAATATATATATATATATTATATATTTGTATGTATAACGTATTTTTAGACTAATGGATCAACAGATTCCCCTCGTTTAAGAGTAACCATACGTGATAAAAACGAAAACAAACTTAATGTATGTTATTTTCCTATTTCAATTTATTAATATTTTGTAAAAATTATAGAATTATTACTCAAATTAGATCACGTAAAAGATTCATGTGAAACCACCGCGGAGAAGAAAACCTATTCCATTAGATCAAAAAGAGGAATGGAATCTTTTAATCAAATTAGAGAATGCATCAAAGTCTTTATCACCAAAAGCCATTAGATTAAAAAGAAAATTGCATTTAAGAAGAGTAAGCAATCCAATTTATTATTATTTTTTTTTAATAATAAAAAATAGATTTGATCATTCAATATAAATAAATGCATTATTTAAATAATTTAACTTGTAAATCAATTTTATATATATATATATATATATTTATTTATTTAATTAAAGCTTAAACGTGGATTGGGAACAAAAGTCTTTGATATTGATATAGCAGTTTCTGAACATATGAGATCTTCGGTACCATTAGAAATTATGTCAAAATTTCATGAAGAACCTTTGGAAACGAAAAAACAGGTTAAAAATACTGAAGATAATAAAGAAAAAGAAAAAGATTGTGATATTACAGAACAAATTAACAAAGTAAGATTGTAAATCATGTGATATAAATATAATATTAAAAATAAAATTATAGTTTTTTTTTTTTCTTTAAGGTTTTCCTTTTTTTTAAAGAATTTATAAAGAAATCTGTGTTTTTTAGCAGGTCACATGTACTCCATATAAGAATTCATTTGCATCAAGATTATATGGCAATCCCCGTTTGGCCAATACCTTAACTGCTGAGGAGGCTTGGACTAGCCCTTTACAAAGGAAATTGAGACCTTATATTCGAAGAGATTACGAAACTATGCCACCGAAATTACGTTTATTACAAGATATAGTTAAATATGCTCATAGGTGGTGGCTAAATTCAAAAATTCCAATAATAATAATAATAACAATTTAACTGAATATTAGATATACTAAATAACTGATGGCTTGTAGAAATGATCACGATTGGTTACCACCACCCTCTAGTCCCATTGATTATTGTTATCTTCAAAAAGAACATTTGAATCAAGTTAACGATTTACTTCAAAGATGCTTCTGGCCAAGCATTGATAGTGAGTAAAAATTAGTAAATAAATTAATTGGTTTAAAAAAAATGGTTCCTCTTTTTTAGAAGCAATATTAACTTGAATATATATATTTATATATATTTATATATATTCTCTAGTTTCCGAGAACCTCCTTTTTCCGGATTTTAGTGTTGTTGCAATGTATAAGCGATTGATAATTGGATGTGGATTTATGACACCGGAAGCTTATATTACTTATGTTGCTGTTGCACCTGGATGGCAGAAATCAGGGATAGGACAGTATGTATTATATAAATTATTTTGATATACATGTCGTTCACCGAAGTACCTCGGATGAAGATCTATGAAAATGTGATTATCTGAAGGGAATAGTCATCACTTCGGATAATCCCATTTTATCCGGACCCGAGGTTCTTCGATTGTAATGTACACAACATATTTATTTTTATTTGTTTAACAAATTTATGAATAGATTTATGTTATATCACTTAATTCAGGTTGGTTCCGATTATTATTGTTGTTATTGTATTGCTATTATTGTTATTGTATTGCTAATATTAATCTTTAAAAATAATATATATATATATATATATATATAAATATGAACATAACATATAGACAAACATGGGAAAAGATGTCATGCTTCATGTTTCTGCAAATAATCCAGCTATGGTAAATAAATAATTAGTCATTTTTATATTTTTGTTATTTTATTAGAATTTTTATTAAATTACTTTTTTTTTTTTAGATTCTTTACCAAAAGTTTGGTTTTAAACCGGAAGAATTTATTGTAAACTTTTATGATAAATACTTACCTGACGGAAGTTTAGAATGCAAAAATGCATTCTTTGTAAGATTAAGAAGATAGAGAGATATTGGTATGTATTGATTGATTGATCATTTTTGCCACCATTTTTTGGGAGGAGGATTTTGTATTTCTTTTAATTTTTTCTCTAACAAATGTTTTTCCCATTCATCTTGTAAAATTTTCCAATCATCTTGTTCGGAATTACTGAGTTTGATTTTTTCTGAATTTTTTAGTGTTTTACGTAATGAAGGAACATAATATGGAACCAAATCTTTCATTTTTCCATGAAATTCTCTCAACTATTTGTTTTTTTAAAAAAAACATATAGATTAATATATTATTTATATGTGAATAATTTTCAACTATTATTTTAGTGAAGATGATTTTTTTTTTAAAAAAAAAGATCATATAGAAATTATTTTTATTATTTTTTTTAAATATCTATTACTCACATTACTGACTCCAAGTAAAGTACCAATTCCAATTGCACATAAACCACTAACTGAAACACAAAGAATAGTTCCAATTGCTAAAGCCTGAAAAGAGTACAAAGTTGCAATTCTATATCCAGAATTTATTCCTAATTGATTTGATGTTGAGAAAATTTCTGTAGACAAAGGTTTGGCTGTAATATTAAAAATATTAAAAATATAATAAATATTAAAATAAATAAATCATCAATTATCTACCCAATTTATCAATTGATTACGAAATTACCATATGATTACCTTTACGTTTGGTATACCATAACGAGCCAATTATTCCTGCAGTGAAAAAAGTAGTTGATAAACCAAGTACAAAATTAGACTCTGATGACTTTGAAATTGAAGGATTTCGATCTATATTATGATTTAAAGAAGGGGTGCTGATTGTTTTTGACATTATTATGGGTGTCTCAATAACTCAAGGTATCGATTCTTAAAAAAAGAAGATTTCAATATATATTTTGAATAAATTCATAAATTGAACCCTTAATTTTGAAGAGAATCCCGTATAACATTTCGTAATAAGAACGTGAACATGAAATTTTAGCTATGTGACTATTTCAAAAAATTTGATCCAGCTGACTGACTGATTGGATCCAACCTGACGTGTAACAATCTTCCTTAAAAATTAAAAAAGGGAACGTAACACTTATTCTAAGACAAGAAATTTCTTGTATGAATAATTATTTATGTACAAATTAATAAAAAAAAAAAAAACCTGAAATTAAAACTCCTTTGTCTTAAGAGAAAAAAGGTTTTTGTGTTGTATAAATGAAGTATATCAAACCATTGTCATTATCATCATTATTATCCGTTTTATTACCATCCCTTTCCATTACCACTATTATTCTCCTCCGCCCCCCTCTTCTTCTGACCTCTCTTTCCTTTATTTATATGTCCTAACCTAATACGAAAAATTTAATTTTTAAAGTTACGCAGTATTTTTCAAACCGGACTATTTTTTTAAAACTGGACTATTATTAAATAATTCCCTTTTTGTTCATCTCGGCCATTTTTTATTATTATTATTATTCCACTAAACTTTATTATTTCAAATGCCAACAACTCTTGACCATCTCGCCAATGAACTATTGTTTAAAATTTTTACCTACCTTCATCGTCCTGCTGCTTTTTCATTAACATGTAGAACTCTCCATTATATAACGAAAGACTCTCATGCTAGAGCTGCTTACTTTATTCATAAATACGGACCTAGGTTGGCAATATTTTATGCTATTAGAAATCATGCGAAAATAGTTACGAAAGAAACCGCGGAAGCTTTAATTTCATCCGGGGCCATAGTATCAAGAAACTTGGCACAACGTTTAATAAAAGATTATTTAGAGAGACAACCAACTGAATATTTTCGTTGTTGTTGGACTAGTAAATTATCTTTTGGTACGTATTTGGTATTTCTTCAACAAGCCTATACTTTATATGGTGATAATTTATGGGCGAAAGATGCTATGGATGATTGGGAACAATTTCGTATTTGTGTCTCTTTACAATCCGGATTAGACTTTGAAAATTTAAATAGTTCCTCAACACATGATTCAAATCGAGAATATATTAATGATTTGGTAGAAAAATATAATGTAGTACCTTTACCTTTACAATATTGTTTCGCCAATATTTCAGATACTTTCGTAACTATAGCTCGTATAGGTGATATTCAATTATTAGATATGGCATTGAATGATTTAACTCATTTTGATCGTTATGAAGTGGTAAGCATCGTTCCCACAATCGTTGAGAAATTAATTTATAATAAACCAACTCCAAATCATTTAAAAAAGGCTTTGGTAAATCTTTTTAGTTTCGATTATCCTGTATTGGAACAATTAGCTTTGGAATTAATAAGGAATTGTGGATTATATAAAATTCCAAATGTTATAATTGAAACATTAATAGAACGTAAAGATAGTTTACAATTTGATCTTAATTCCGTAATTTTACATTCTATTAACGATAAATTTCATTCAATATTTTCTTGTAATGGTGCACCTGATAATATCGAATCTCTTTGGCATTATTTTCCCGAATTTAGATTAAAAATAAAAGAGAATCTTAATAATTTTTTTTCGGATTCAAGAACTGGTGGAGTTATATGTTGTAGAGATGATGCAAGTTATTATGGTTATGGGGTTGGTTGTGTGGGTGTAGATTTTATTCTTAGAACATTTGGATCTAAAGATATTATCACCGAAAAATGTTTCCAAGCAATCGTTAGAGATATATGTGAAAAAAATTTTAAGATACGATCTAATCGTAATAGATTTCGTAGATTCAGTGGTGATAGTGAAATAAGTTCACATTTAATTCCAAGGGGAGCACCACTTTATTTCGCCAATTATATTGAAGCTGGTGTTAAGATAAAACCTGAACATTTGATGATGGTATCAGAAAAGGGAATGAAACGAAAATGGTTTCTTCATAAACTTTTTGATGCCTTAGAAAAATCTTTAAAAGGTGATTTCATGAATTTAGAGAAATCATCAGCGGATTCCATCAAAATTTCACCATCATTTGATTCAACAGAAAACAATCAAAATATTCAAAATGTTGATTTGACTGATAAAAAAATAATATGGAAGAACGCAGTAGAAGAAGCACTTAATCGTGAACGTGAAAAATACCGTAACTCGAATAAAAGATGGTTAGGAAAGGGTCGTTTATTTCGTATGTTGGACGATCTACATAAACGACATTTCGGACATTCATGTCTTTGTATATGAAAAATTAATGATGGAAACATATAACATTTGATCTTAAAGTATTGCAATCTCGAAAAATGCATACATGTATATATATATATATAAAAAGAATTCCTTCTTTGTGGCGTATCTATTTTTTTTTTTTTTGGTCAATTGTTTATTTGGGATTTAATATTTTGGAATACTTTATATAATATATCATTTTTTTTTTGGTTTTAAAAAAAATTTTATCTTCTTTTCTCTTATATACCTTTTAAATACATACATACATACATACAAGTTTTCTTCTTTTTTTTTTTTTGTAATATTAAACTTTAAAATTTAACAATCATCCATAATTTATTTCTCTCACATAAATTGAATATTTTTAAAATACTTATTATCTCATTCACTTCTTTATGTATTTTTTAAAAAAAAATAAAACACTTCATTTTTTCAACCTTAAACCTTCGATTATTGAATCCTATTTATGTTTCCAACATTATCGTTTTTTTTTAAAGATTTTATTCATAATTTCGTAAATATATTATTTTAAATGTATAATTTTTTTTTGTTGTATTTTGTTCCTATTTCTTAATTTATCGTATTGAATTGATTACACAACGTATGTAATATTATTAAAAATGAAAAAGTAACTCAAGTTTATTAGAAATATTTAGATGTAATATTTGGGGATATTTTAAAATTGGTTGGCGTGTGTTACAAGTGAAGTTGCATCATTTTAAAATATTGATAGTGTGCTTTGTGCTGAGCGAGACAATATTAATGATAGTATTACACGCGTTACGTCATTGTAAATCTTAAAAACACTAAATTATTGAATTATTGTGTAAATCTAAATATTATAAAATAATTGTGCAACAATAGAAATTCATTATATGACTTTCAAGAAAATTAACTCTGTAAATTTGAAATAAGGGTCACATTACCAAAAGAAAACGTGTAAATAATTGAAATTGTGCATAATCCAAAAAATCCAGAACTATCGGGTTATCTTAATTATTCTTTTCATCCATGAACAAATATCTCATCTCCATATACCAGTTTCTATGATTTTAATGTATACATTAGTTCAGTTCACTATACTCCTTTTACGCGTTGCACCTATTATCCACTACATGATTTTCTGTTCTTCTACACAAGTTGCTAATACTACGTTACCTATTCAAACTCATCCTTCTAAACCGAGCCAATTCTTTCCGCAACAATTGTCTACCCATTCAAACTCGTTCTAAACCAGATGTTAAAAATTTATCTAATTCTAAATCAATTTCAATTTTATTTGTTTGTATTACAGCTAGATTGGATTGACCCAATCCGAATATTCTTTTAAGTTATAATAGGAATTTTGCCATAAATAAAAGTAACATGTGAATAAGATGCGAAAAACAAGAAAATTTCTATATATAAAAATATTCACATTATGTTGATTTTTTTTTAAAAAAAAAAGAGAGCAATCATTTACATTTTGTAATTTTTATGTATTTTGGTAATAAAAAATTACTATTAATATTTTAATTCTATTTTCAAACTTAGCTTAGTATATTTACATTTGGAAAAACCTTTATTTAATTGAGATTCTTATTTTTTTTTTTTTTTTTAAAAAAAAAAAAAATTGCTTTTAGAAACTTTTGATTTTAAACTTTCTATTAGACCCAGAAATTTAAAAATCACTGATAACTGTCTTAATAATAATACAATGTAAAATATGTGTATCGTTGTATTTAACAAGGCTGAAAATGAAGTCATTATTTTTTTAAATTATAAAATTGACTCCATTAATTAATTATTGTCCCAAAAATATCAATTTCATTTTTTTATGTAATCAATCATATCATTAAAGGATTTTGTAATTCTGTCCTTATACTACTACTACTAATACTAATACTAACAATGCATTGTTTAGAAATGTTTGTTAAAGTTATTTGAATATCAATGTTAATAATAATAATATCAAGAATTTTAAAAAGTTGGACAAAAAAAAGATAACGGTCGAAATATTCGAACTAGTTTTGGGCTTTTCAATTTAATAAAATTTTTATTTTACTAAATAAAAAAAGATGAAATCACAGATTCAAGATTTTTTTTTTTCATCTTAACAATAAAAAAAAAGATGAAATTATAGATTCAAGATACGGATAATTATAAATTTATTACTTTTGGATGAATTAAATCGATCATACTATTGTTATCCTCGTTTTTTTTTTATTTTATTTTTTATTTTTTATTTTTTTCCTTCTTGTTGTAATCAGGAATAGCGCAGTTACAAAATGATTAAAAAGTTTGTTTGAGGCTTAATCTCAGCAAATGTTCCTAAAAAACATTAACAACAAATCATCATCATATCTATCAAAAAGCGGATTGATGTCATTAAATAAATTCTGATATTCATATAATATATAAATATCTTGATGATTTTTTTTTTTTTTTATACCCTTAAAATATTTTTACTTACTTTTTAGTCTTAAAAAAAAGGTATCATTGCATCAAAAACAAATCAAGATTGATAAATTTTATTATTTATTTTTTTTCATGAATTTCCCACGAATGTTACTTTTATCTTTCTAACTTTTTAGATAGTCGTCCTTAATGTCTAGTCAAATTAATTGGGAAACCTCCGAACCTGAACCAACATTACCTTGGAATTCTAAAGTTACTAATGAATGTGTTGAAGTTGAATGGCATCAAAATTCCTCACCAGAAACACGTGGATCATCGAAAAAAATTGTCTCACCAACTAGAACTTTAACCACAAGCGATGATGATAGTTGGGACCCAAGTTATGAACATATTAAAAAATCCGCTAAAATACCTCGACCACCTCCACCAAAGAATGTTGAGAATAATATCGAAGTTGAATTATCATTTGGTAGGTTATAAATTTAAATTAATTGACAAATTGATATATATATATATATATATATTTCATAAATTAAATGAAAAATATTATCAATAAAAGACGAGCGGACACCTATATCGAATTTTCAAGCCCCAAAAACATTTCGAGATGTTATAGTTCAGACTGAGGTGACTTATGCACCTTTACAAGAAACTTCCCTTTTTCCACTTGTTTCAACAACTGTTCAAGAAACAATACCCAACCAACTACGTTCCGTAATTCCTTCATTATTGGACATTGAACCTGATGAGAATGGAAAATTTTCTGCGCCTTCTGCCATTTCTTTAGAAAATAATTATGTCAAAGAAACTAATAATACTAATAATGATTGGAATAAACCGAAAAAAGAACATCCAAGTAATAAAATTGTTGAATGGGATAATCCTGAAAAGATTTCATCATTTTCAAAAGATATTAGAGATGTTTGGGGTTCTACATATGATCGGAGCAAGAAAGATGACCGGAGAAATCAAGAAGATGTTTGGGGTTTGGGTATTACACATGATCGGGGCAAGAAAGATGACCGGAGAAATCAAGAAGATGTTTGGGGTTTGGGTATTACACATGATCTGGGCAATAAAGATGACCGGAGGAATCGAGAAGCTCCACAAATATCAAAAGATTCATGGGATGTTACCACTTTTTCTCAAGACATCGATGAAGTTAATGAATTTAACAATGATCGTAAAAGTGTTCCAAAAGAAATTCCGGTTTCAAATGAAAATCGTCAAGAAGTTTTTAAGATAGCTAAAGATTCTTGGGATAATAATGCTGATACTACTAAAAGCACAGATTTATTTCCTGCACCAGAAGATTGGACAAAAAAAGCAGCTTTATTTGTCAGTCAAATAACAGATAGTGTTGAATCAACTAGTCAATGGGTTGAAAAGCAACAATACACTGAAAAAAATTACTACGATGATTTTTCTTCGGAAAATAAATCCGGTAGAAGCGGTCGAAATGAAGGTAAAAGTGGAGCATGTTATAAGTGTAATCAAGAAGGTCACATTGCTCGAGATTGTCCTGAATCTGGTAGAAGTGGTGGTCGAAACGAAGGTTTATGGTAAGAATAAAAAACTTTCTTCTATTCTTGTTTTTTTTTTTTTTTTTTTTTAATTTCTTACCTTTTTATGTTTGAACTTTAAGTTATAAATGTAATGAATCTGGACATATTGCAAGAGAATGTCCTAATGTCGAAGATTCAGGTCGTCGAGATTTTGGAGCTTGGTACGTTATACGAATTTTTTTTTAAAACATTTTATATAAAATACAATTCTAATTTAAAAATTTTTTTAATTATTTTTCAGTTATAAATGTCATAAGCCAGGACACAAAGCGGCTGAATGTACAGAAGAAAGGGAATATGAAGATATCGAAGGCAGCGGTAGTAATAAAAAATTCACTTGGTGAGATATAACTCTTGTACATCTCTTAGTCTCTCTCGGTTATTTTAAGTTTTACACCAAATTTAATTCATATTACTTTTCAGCTTTGTTTGTGGATCTCCAGATCATTTAGCTATTAAGTGTCCCTCGCGTCAACTCCAAAAGCCTAGTCCATGTATTTTATCATTTTTTTTATTTGTTATATTAAGTATTATTGTGTTAATAATAATTATAAAATTTTATATAGGGGACAATCCAAACCCTACAAATTTAACTTCAGACGAGGCCTGGAACAAATTACTTCAAGCCGATAAAGAAAGAGATGTAGATGACTTTAAAGATGCATTTGAAGAATACGCGAAATCTTCGTCAGAATTAACTTTCCAGGAAATCGAGAGACAATTAAGAGCTTCAAATTGTAAAGGGAGATTGGTTGCTTTAGTAAGCATATTCTTTCAGTTTTGTCATTTTTATAAATTTTCAAATGATGACAATTATTGATGAAAATTATTTGTAGGAACGTGAAGAGCTTCCATTAACTAAATGTTTGGTGGATCTTCAAGGAGTCACTGAAGATAAAAAATATGTTGTTCAGATAGTGATGGGTCCACCTTCACGACTTGCTCGAACCGCCGGAAGACGCGCAGGTTCAGATGAGGAAAATATTGAATGGCTTTCTCAAGCTGGATTCTTAAGAGACGATGTTGTTCCCACATGCTTTAATTGTAAAAAAAAAGGCCATATTACGAAGTAAGCCTTCTTTGCGCAACGATTTTTTTCATATATATATATTTTTTTCTTTTCACATCCATCTATTAAATCTGTTAAAATTTATGATTTTCTTTAGAGAATGTCAGGAACCAAGGAGAGGTTTAAAAATTTTTTATCATTTTTTGAAAACGAGTTCTGTAATGTGTGTATATATATATATTAATTCGAAATATATAATTAATTCTCTTGAAAAGAATACGAAAAAACTCAAAAGATGTCTTGTCAAAAATGTGGATCTTCAGAACACATGACTAAGTATGTATTTTTAAAATCAAAAACTTTCCTTTCTCATTTTTATTATTAATTATTATATATATTAACCTTCTTGTTACTTTTAGATATTGTCTCGAGAAACGACGTACAAATTATAATGGTCAGTATAAATCATGAAATAATTTGTGATTAAATGAACAAACCGAGTGACTCGCTAATTTATATATTATTATAGATCGTGGAGGTGGGGGTGGACGTGGACGTGATTGGTAAGAAGAATTAATGATAATCCTAATCTTATTATAAAAGATATAATATATAAGATGATATGTATGATATATAATGTACTGTTTTAGTTACAATTGTGGATCAACCGAACACCAAGCCCGTGAATGTGATTCCGAAGATAGAGGTATTTTTTTTTTTTTAGATATTTTTTAGATTCTTCATATCATAAATTTCAGATACAACTTTTTTTTTTTAACAAAAAACATAATTTTTTAAGGAGATGGTCAAAAAGGATATCGTTCACAGACCTGGTAAGGCAATTTTAAATGATTTTTTTACCATATTTTAACCGGGCAAAAGAATATATATTAAATCATTCATTTAATACATATCAACATAGTCATAATTGTGGAGAAGAAGGACATTTTTGTAAGTAAAAAAATTTTTTTTTTGTTACATTTTGCAAGATTTAAATTTTTACATAGTTTATATTTATTTACATTTTGTAGCACGAGACTGTACTGAACCAAGACGAAGCGGTGGTGGTGGTGGTAAGTAATTTTCGATTATGAATGTTGCGAGAATCGGTTCAGATACAATTTTTTTTTTTTTAACAAGAAACATAATTTTTTAAGGAGATGGTCAAAAAGGATATCGTTCACAGACCTGGTAAGGCAATTTTAAATGATTTTTTTACCATATTTTAACCGGGCAAAAGAATATATATTAAATCATTCATTTAATACATATCAACATAGTCATAATTGTGGAGAAGAAGGACATTTTTGTAAGTAAAAAAATTTTTTTTTTGTTACATTTTGCAAGATTTAAATTTTTACATAGTTTATATTTATTTACATTTTGTAGCACGAGACTGTACTGAACCAAGACGAAGCGGTGGTGGTGGTGAGTAATTTTCAATTATGAATGCAGCGAGGGTCGGTTCAGTTTATCTGACTATTGCATTTTATATCAAGGACGAAAATGTCATAAATGTGGTGAAGAAGGTACGTTTCGAATGTAAATCATTCATTCTAAATTTCGTACATGTTAACATTATTTTTTTTTTAATTTTTTCAAAGGTCACTTGGCAAGAGATTGTGGTGGTGATGATTATTATGATAACAAAAAATATGAAAATAATGATAATTGGCCAAAGGACGACGAGAATTTAGGACCAAAGTGTACTTGGATGAATGGACAATTACCTCCATGGGAAACTAATAATAATGAAACCAATAATGGATCCAATAATGGTAATAATAAGCGGGATAAGGACAGAGATGCCTTGTCTCGAGGCAGAAATCAAGATAGAGACTCATCCTGGGGCGGTAAACATGATAAAGACCCATCCTTTGGTGACAAAGAAGGCAGATACTGGGTTGGTAAACAAGATAGAAACGCTCCCTGGGAAGTTAAACAATATGAAGATCCATCCTATGGCGACAAACGAGATTTATCTCGGAGTGGTAAACAAGACTTTCTAAGGGAAGGTTACCAGAATAATGATAACATTCAACCAACCTGGGCACAAAATAAAGAGACTCCCAAATCTAATTGGGGACTTAATCAGAACAAAGATGAAGAATTCGGATCTTCCGGAAGACCTAATAAATACAAAGGCAAGGAATCTGAAACACCATTTATAGATGAACAAAAAAAATCAAATGATATCTGGACCACCGAAAAATCTACTCCTATTAAAATTGATGACTGGTCTATGAAACGAGAACCAGTTTCTCCTACTCCAAGATCAAATATTTGGGATTCTCCTTCTAGAAGAAATGAGAAACCTGAAATGTTTGGGGATTGGAATACTCGAAACTCTAATAAACTTTCACGCAACGAAAGTCGTACTCCAACGTTTTCTAAAAAAAGTTCTGATGGACGAGGGGTTGAAATGCAAGATAAACCTTGGTGGGAAAATACTTAGTCCAAAACATTTTTTTAGTATATTTTGTATAGATTAATATAATAGAAGTATAATGCAAGATTCAAAAATATTGTTAAACCAATAGATTTGAACAATAAAATGTTCTCAATTTATTCATTTAATTTCATTATATATTTATTTTGACTATTTGACAATATTTTTTTCAATTTAACTTTCATAACAAGAATTTGAAATCATGCATTACATTTTTATTTATTTTAATATGAAAAGTTTTCTTGTCGTAAATAGAAAGAACAATTATAAAAAACAATCATAGTGCAGAATTAAATCAACTATATTCAACTATATTAATTTTCCAATAAAATAAAGAATTATTTTAATATAGCACAAAAAAAAAAAAAAAAAAAAAAAAAATCGTAATGCCCTTTTGATTTCAATTTTTACAAATGAAATTGAATTTTAATTATATACAATTAATAAAATGTTACGAACGAAAAAAAAAGAAAAAGAATCACGATAAAAAAAGGTAAAAATGAATCAATTATTATATTAATGATAAAAGTTGAATTTATATTTAAAAAAAAAAAAAAATACAATGTACTAGTAATTCATCGGAAGCATAAAAATGGTGGTGGAATTCTTTGATATCGTGATTATGAATTTTTCGCCCAATATTCTTTTCTCGCTTCAAATAAACTAGGTGTATATCCAGCAGATCGTTGAATTGAGAAGTTTTTGAAAGCGTTTCCATTAGGACGTGATTGCCTTGGTACCTGACCATCCCAATCAAGAAGATCATGTTCCAATCGCGTTGGATTAACAACATCATCAATTAATTTACTTTGATTACTTTTAATTAACATTATTTGAAGACGTCCATTCGATTCATTAACTGCCGTAACTTTCAAATCCATATTTACAGTTACTCCAAGACCTTTGAATTGTTTTTTGTATTTTAAAATATCATTTGGTCTGAGGATTCTAGCTTTCACCATATCAGGAAGTGATATTTGAGCGGAATCACTAAATTCAAAAAAAAAAAATAAATAAATAAAAACAATTAATTAATTATAATAATTATAATATAATAATAATAATTAAATTTAAATTTAACCAAAAAAATATTATCAAAAAAATTATTAAATATTTACCCAGCTACTTGTTTTTTTCCCATCTTTCCCCATAGACCAATACCCCAATCCTGTTCAAAGGCATCATTCTGTTTATGATAAAAAAAAAAAAAGAAAAATTAAAAATTAAAATCAAATAGTCAAATAAGTAATTACATAACTATTTTTTTTTTTTTTTTTTTTGAAATATTCACCTTCCAATAATTAGGAATTTCAGTCTTAAATTTTTCCAAATTATCCCATTGAGTATCTACACCTATTTTGGTATAATAACCATATCTAATACTTAATTGAAACCACCACCTAGCATCTTTGAATGCATCCGAGAGCCAAAAGTCAAATCGTGGAACAACTTTAGTAGGATCAATTTCGGTAATAGTTTCGGTTACACCAGCCTCATATAATTTCATTCCTTGAGCTTGACGTTCTCTTTCAATTCGAGGTGTGTCAATAGGTTCACCGACTTCACTCGCAATTGGAACTAATTCGGATCGTGGCAAAAGTTTCAATAGCCTCGATTTTTGTTCATCCGTGAAATTTTTATATACATTAAAGTTGATAATATGTTTCATTACTTTATATCCTAACTCGGATCTAGAATTTGAAAGAATTTTGTGTAAATAATCAATTTCCTTTTTTTTCATCCAGGGATGTTTTACTAGAATCTTATCTTGATACTCTTTATGTGTCGGTCTTGGTCTCTTAGGGATCTCGAAAAGCCTGGCTTTAAAAGCTTCCCATTTTGAATCAACAAGAGATAACTTATTATTATCATTATTATTATCATTATTATTATTATTATTATTATTATTATTATCAACATTATTATTATCATCATTATTAGTTAATGTAGGATTGATTTCAAACACTTTTTTTTCTCCTTCGTCAGTTGACTCTACTGATGATGATGATTTCCTATTATCATTATCAACCGCGACATTTTCGGATTTATATAAGGTATTTTCCATATTTTCGGAATTTGCAGCGGGAAGTTCAGAATTTATTACTTCATCTTGTGATTTTGATGGATCGTCAACACCTTCGAATTGGTCACTAATAATTTCGGATTGTTCCACTGACTTTTCGCTCTCTTTAGACTTTTGATTTTTGGTTCTCGAGTTAACTACTCGTGGCTTTTTGGCTCGCCCATTAGTACCAGTATTAGCGCGTTTCTTAACTCTTTTTTTGGAAGAAGTAAAAATTTCCTCTTCCTCTTCCTCTTCCTCATCCTCAGTTTCCTCAGGTATTTCGTAGTGGACTTGTTTAACAGAAAGTCTTGAAGACCTACGGATTGACTGATTAGAGTCTGTTTGTTTTCTTCGTCGAGGCATCTTTTATTTCAGTAATAAGTGATAATATTAGACTTAAAAAAGACTTGGGTTTATAACAATAAAAAAACCTTTACTGTAAGAAATACGTGTATCGTTACTTATAAAAAGGAATGAAGGAGGGTTTTACTTACGCTAACGAAAGACTTTATATTAATGAAAAAAAAAAAAACTTTAGTACGATAACAGTACTGTGTTGTTGAAGCTTGTTTGTTAAAATATCTTGGATATAAGAACCAGTTTGGAAGGGGGGGAAAAAAAAAAGCGCAACCACTATAAGATTTTAAAACGGACCGATGAAAAGCTTATAGGAATATATTGTAACACAAGCGAAAAAAAAATAAAAAGGAATATTTGCAATACAAGTTTTTATTATTGAAAAATGACCACTTTCAATTTGTTACCTCCAATATCAGTTGATACAGGAAAAGCATTTTGTAGGTTATCAAAAACTAATATAAAAAATCGAAAACTTTTCGAAGGTCAATGGGTTCGTTTAGATTCTGAACAAGTGGTCAGTTTATTATTTTGTCTATTTCAAATATTCAATAATAATAATAATTTCCTTTTTCATAAGTTTTTTTTTTTTTATTTTATTTTAACAAACAATATTTGGTTACATTGTAATATTCAGTCAATATTTTGTCGTGTATGGAAAGCAAATATACCAGAAAATATGATTCAAGCGGATAACCTTATTTTACTAAGAAAAAACCGTTCGTTTAGTAATATAATTTTGTATAATAATTCATGTAAGAATTAATAATTTAATAAAAATAAAAAAGTTTTCAAAAAAATTCATTTATTTTTAATTGATGAATTGATAAATTAGACTCTTTAGTTCCTTTAATTTATCCATTACAAAATTCTATCGAAGTTACATTACGCGTCAGGTTTAAATATTTAAATAATACAGAGAATAAGAAAAGGAAACAATTTTATGATTTGGGATTTGTTTGGAATGATAGTTCTGAAAGTATTAAATATCAGGTCAGCAGAGATTAAAATATTATTATTGAGAAGAATTGTGTGGATAATGTAATGATGATGATGATTTTAATATTTAATTCAGACTATCAAAAGTATATTAAATAATATAATTGTATATCAAGGATGTAAGATATTTGATGAAAAGAGATGTTTGGAGATTGAGGTATTTTTTATTATAAATTCTTCTATCAAATTGTTCTTCCTCATTGTGAAAATTTATATTGAATAATTATTTATAGATTCTTGAAACAATTCCTTTAAAACAAGAATTATTATTTACAATTGATACAAATATTACAAATATTATTGATTATGATAAAGAGAATCAAAATGATGATTATGATAATAATATTATAAAAGATTTAAAAGAGATTAATAATTTATTACCAACATTAACATTGGAAGAGAATAGTTTTAAAACAATTTCTGGATTGGAACAAGCTTATCAAGCACTTTATGAAGTTGTTAGTTATCCATTAATATATCCGGATTTAATTAAACAGATGAATATTGAATGTCCAAAAGGTGTATTATTATATGGTCCATCAGGTGTAGGGAAAACCTTTCTTGTTAATGAAATTGCAAAGGCTTGTAATGCAAAGATGGTATAATTTAATTTTAATTAAATTTATTTGTCACTTTATTATTTGTTATTTTAATCACTTTTTTATTTGTCACTTTATTATATGTTATTTTATTTGTTATTTTCATTAGATTTCAATTCATGGATCAGATGTATTTGGTACATACATAGGTGAAAGCGAAGCAAGATTACGAAACATTTTTGCTCAATCTAGATCTTTAACAATTAAGGAAAATTACCCTGTTATCTTGTTTATTGATGAATTGGTTAGTATGATTTTGTCAAAACAAAATTTGGTTCTATATTCCTTTTACATTCCATTTACAGTCAACTCTCTATAAATGCACTCTCTTTGGACTAGAACTAATATGCATTTATAGAGGGGACGCATTTTTAGAGGTTAACTTTATAAGTGTTATTAATGGATAGGACTGAGACATAGGGTGCATTTAAAGAGGGAATGCACCCATAGAGAAATTGACTATATTATATTTCTTTTTTATTCCTTTATATTTCTTTTATATTCCTTTTTATATTTCTTTTATATTCCTTTTTATATTTCCTTATATTTCTTTTATTTCCTTTTATATTTTTCTTTTATATTCCGTTTATATTTCTTTTATATTCCTGCAGGATGTATTAACACCACATAGAAACGATGCACAATCACATGAATCACGCATCGTAGCTCAATTGTTGACATTAATGGATGGTATTGAGTCTCGAGGTAGATTAGTGGTAGTGGCAGCAACAAATCGACCAAATTCGATTGATCCTGCATTAAGAAGACCCGGAAGGTAAGAAATTAACTTTAATTTATCTTTAATGTTAATAATAAACAATTACATTGTTATTCTTCTTTACTTGATTAATAATGGATAAATAGATTTGATCGTGAAGTCGCTATTGAAACACCAACAGAACAAGAGCGTTATAAAATTTTGATATCAAAAACATCTTTGATGCCTTTAGATGAAGATGTTAATCTTAGTATTATTGATATTATTATTTAATTAATTATTCAAAGCTTGAAATTTAATTTACTTATATTTATTTTATTTTTTCAATTATTTAAAGATTTATTAGCTTCCATGACAAATGGATATGTTGGTGCTGATTTAGTATCCCTTTGTCGAGAGGCGGCAATGCTTGCTGTTAATCGTAAATCAAAATCTTCAAAGTAAGTTATTCATTATCAAATAAATTTAATGAATGAATGAATGAATAATTAATGAATAATTAATGAATCGCATTAGATTATTATCCTTTATTACCATGAAAGATTTTATGAATGCAATGGAACTAATTTCACCATCGACACAACGAGGATTTCAAGTAAAAGTTGAGAAAACGAATTGGAACGATATTGGAGGATTAGAATCTGTAAAAAAGGTTAATTTATTAAATTTATTTAATTTATTTAAATTTATTTAAATTTAATTTATTTAAACTATAATAAAAATGATAATAGCAATTAATCCAAGCTGTAGAATGGCCTTTAAAATATCGTGATACGTTTACAAGATTAGGTCTTAAACCTCCTAGAGGAATATTATTGTATGGACCTCCAGGATGTAGTAAAACTACTTTAGTCAAGGTAAATATTTTGTTTCTTTTGAATTATTTTAATTATTCTAATTAATTATTTATTTATTTTATTATTAATTAGGTAATAGCCACAACTTCCGGTGCAACATTTTTATCCATCAATGGGGCTGAGTTGTATTCACCTTTTGTTGGTGATTCAGAGAAAATAAGTAAGAATTCTCATAATTCTATAATTAAACATAATAATGCAATTATAATATTATCATTATTTGTATATAATATATGTATATATATATATATATATTTATTTATTTATTTAGTTAGAAGCACATTTCAAAGAGCACGTTCTTCTACTCCATCTGTCATATTTTTTGATGAAATTGATGCAATCGTTGGAAAAAGATCTTTTGATAAAGGAAATTCCAATGGTTTTGGTGGTGATAGTGTTCAAGAACGTGTATTATCAATGTTATTAAATGAGATGGATGGAATTGAGATCGTGAATAATGTTCTTGTAGTGGTGAGATAAGATATTATATCTAATTCATCTTATTCATCTTATTAAAAGATTTTTTTTTGGAATTAAATAAATTAAATAGCATTATTCATTTCTTATTTAAAAAAAAGGGAGCTACCAATAGACCGGATATGCTTGATGATGCGTTATTAAGACCAGGTCGATTTGATAAGCTTATTTATGTAATTATTATTAAAGATTATTATATCACAAAAAACTTTTCGAATGCTTTTTTTTTCAAATGTTGTAACGACAAATTTAATTAATTAAATTAAATTAAATTCTATTTAGATTCCACCACCAGATTTAGTAGCCAGAAAAGAAATATTAAAGATTCACACCTCGAAGATTCCATTGAGTGATGATGTTGATTTAAATGTTATTGCTGAACAGGTAAACATAAAATTTAAATTCAATTGAAGATAATTGATTAAAATACTCGATTTTTATTATTATTATTATTATTATTATTATTATTATTATTAAAAATTGAACTTTAAACATTATATTTATTTTTTTTTTTTTAAAAAAAAGACGGAATTTTATAGTGGAGCGGATCTCAAGAATTTATGTCGAGAATCTGCTATGATCGCATTACGTGAAATGATGAATACAACGAAAGTGGTAAGTTGATTATTTTTTAATTTTTAATTCTTGACCTGAATTCAAAAGTCTTTTTATTTATAATTTTTATTTATAAATTTTATTTTTATTTATAAATTTTATTTATTATTTAGAAAATGGATGATTTTCAGAATGCATTACATGTAGCAAAACCTTCTTTAAATACAGAAATTATAAAACAATACCAAAAAATTTCATAAAGATAATAAAATGAACAATTGATAATTCAAGAATTAACTAATTAAAAATAATTAAAATACAAAAATATAGATCTAATTTAAATTTTAATTTCAAATCTAAATTCTAATTCAAATATTAATTTAAATTTCAATCCAATGGTTCTTCTTCTACACCTTCATCAATAGCCATTTCATTATCATATTCACCTGATGAATGATTTCTTGCTACCACTATATCCTGTAGATCACTTGTTACTGTTACATTAGCTATTTCACCATTTCGTACTCCACCATCTTATTTATTTACAATTAAATTTTAAAAATTAAATTTATATAAGAGAAATAATTAGTTATTAATGAGGAGAATAAAAAAGAAAAGAAAAGAAATTACAAAAATAATTACGAAAAAAATCATTACCTATCAATAATCTACTTAATGGATTCAATATTTTATTCTTAATTAATCTATTTAATGGACGTGCACCATAAACTGGATCATAACCATTCTCTGTAAGCCAATTTCTTGCACTTTCATCAATATTTAAAGTTATTCTCTTATCTTGTAATCGTTCATTAAGTGCTTGTATTTGAATATCAACAACTTTACGTATATCTATTAATAATAATAATAATAATAATAAAGAAAAAAAGAAGATATTATTAAAAAATTATACTCAAACATATCTTTATATAAACGTATTAAAAAATGTCAAAGATTTAAAAGATTTACATACGTTGACGTCCCAAAGGAGTAAATATAATAATATCATCCAAACGATTTAAAAATTCTGGTCTTAAATGTAATTTCACATCCATCATCACACTTTCTTTTATGCTATCACTTATAGTTTCTGTTGTTAAACCTTGTAAATGATAATATCCTAAATTACTATAATAATAATTAATTTATAATTAATTAATTAATTATTATTAAATATTTATTTTTATTTGAAATTAATTAAAATATAAAAAATATATTGTTTAATAAAAATTTTATACCTTGTCATAATAATAACGGTATTACTAAAATCAACATGTCGTCCTTGACCATCTGTTAATCGTCCATCATCCAATACTTGTAATAAAATATTTAAAACTTGTACATGTGCTTTTTCAATCTCATCAAATAATATTACACTATATGGTCGTCTTCTTACTGACTCGGTAAGTTGTCCACCTTCTTCGTGACCAACATAACCTGGTGGCGCTCCAATAAGACGTGATACGGAATGACTAAATTATTTATTTATTATTGTTATATAAATTTTAATTTTTCCTATTAATTAAAAAAAAATATATATTCATCTCTTTATTATTATATATAAATTTTACCTTTCCATATATTCTGACATATCAATCCTTATGATATATTTCTCATCATCAAATAATTCTTGTGCGAGTGCTTTACTTAATTCGGTTTTACCCTAAAAAAAAAACAACAAACTTTAATACTAGAAATTTTTAATTTAATGAAAAATTCTAAAAAATTTTATTTAAAAAACATACCACACCAGTAGGTCCAAGAAATAAGAAACTACCAAGTGGTTGATTTGCTTTTGCTAATCCAGCTCTACTTCTTAATATTGCAAAAGAAATTGACTCAACTGCTGCATCTTGACCAACCACCCTCTTATGAAGTGCATCAGCTAAATTAAGTAATCTTTCCGCTTGACTTTTAGATAATCGTGATACAGGTATTCCAGTCCATCTTGAAACTACTTCATTAATTTGTTCAGGTCCTACTACTTCAGTTAAAAGATTATTAGTTGTGGCTTTATCTTCTTCTTCTTGAGTTTTTCGAGTTTGTAAAATTTGAATTCGATTTTCTACTTCAGGTATAGCATAATATCTAAGATCAGCTGCTTGTTGAATATCTGCTCGTAATTCAGCAGCATTGGCTTTGGCTTTTAAATCATCTAATTTTTGTTGAAGCATTCTAATTTGATCAATTCGATTCTTTTCATTGTCATATCTTGCTCGTAATGGTGATAATTGTTCTTGAATTTCTGACATTTCTTCTTTAACTTTTTGAAGACGTTGACGACTTGGTTCATCTTTTTCTTTAGCTAAAGCAGCTGCTTCAACTTCTAATTGAAGATGACGACGTTCCAGTTGATCAATAATTTCTGGTCTTGAATCAAGTTGAACTCTAGTATTTGCACAAGCTTCATCCATTAAATCAATAGCTTTATCAGGTAAAAATCTATTGGTAATATATCTTGATGATAATTGAGCAGCTGCCACTAGTGCCGCATCGGAAATTTTAACCCCGTGATGAGTTTCGTAACGTTCTTTTAAACCACGTAAAATACTAATAGTATCTTGTACTGATGGTTCCCCAACTAATACTTGTTGAAATCTACGTTCAAATGCTGCATCCTTTTCAACATATTTACGATATTCATTTAATGTTGTGGCCCCAATACATCTTAATTCACCTCGAGCTAACATTGGTTTTAAAAGATTAGCTGCATCCATTGAACCTTCTGTTTTACCAGCACCTAATACTAAATGAATTTCATCAATGAATAAAATAATTCCTTCCTCGGATTCTTTGACTTCTTTTAAAACTGACTTTAACCTTTCTTCAAATTCACCACGATATTTTGCTCCGGCTATGTTAAATATAACATTTGATATTATGTTAAATATCAAAAAAAAAATTTTTTTAGTAACTTATTACTAAAATATTATTAAATGAAACATATATATATATCTCTCTATTTATTTATTTACCAATTAACGCTCCCATATCCAAAGAAAATAATTTCGCATCTAATGATCTTGGAACATCCTTTCTTATAATTCTTTGTGCCAGACCTTCTACGATAGCAGTTTTACCTACACCTGGTTCACCAATTATTACTGGATTATTCTAAAATAATTATTATAATTAATAAAAAAATTTTTAATTAAAAAAATTGGAGATTAAAATTATATATTATTACCTTAGTTCTTCTGGCAAGAACTCGAATTACTCGACGAATTTCATCGTCACGACCTATAACAGGATCAAGTTTTCCTGCTTTTGCTAAGGCGATCAGATCAACTGCATATTTACTTAGAGCTTCATAATTTTCTTCCGCACTCTGTGTTTCTACCCTTCGATTCCTATAAAAATTAATTTTTAACAAAAGAATAAATAAATAAATAAATGATATAAATTATAATAATAATAATCATAACAATAATAACAATAAGAAAAATAACAATAACAATAAGAAAAATAATAATAATAATAGTAAATTAAAAAATACCCTCTAATTTGAATAATAGCTCTTTCCAAAGCTTTCTTATCCACTCCCGCTTCAATAAAGATTTTCATCGATTGAGCATCTTCGATTAATGCTAAAATCAAATGATCTTGAGAAATGAAACTATCTTTTTGCATTTGTTCAATATCATAAGCTGTCCTTAAAACTTTTTTCATTTGATGATTAAGTGATATATCTTCCGGAGGAGGATCTTGAGTAGGAATTTTAACCAAAGCTTTTTTGAAACCCCTTTCAGCAGTTATCGCATCACCTCCGGATCTATTGATTACATTCTTTATTAATGATTCACCTTCCGGATCATCAAATAGTGCACATCCCAAATGAATAGGGGATACTTGAACGTGTGAATATTCCCGAGCTAATTCAAGTGCCGCTGAAAGCGTTTTTTCGGATTTATCGGTGAATTTATAATTATTCATGGTAATTATTTATGATTTGTTAATCTAATTTCGATGAATTGAAATTGTATGTAGAATTAATCCCTTTTAATGTAATGTTTTAATGATGTTTTGATATCTTTTACCAAAAAAAGAAAACGAATAATGGCGCAGTAAACTGCGCCCAACTTGAATAAAGTCTATTACCGTTTATTTCTTTACTTAATAATAATAATGGTTGATAATGACGTATCCAAATTTTCAATTCTTTATTTTTTTTTCTCTTTCAGTTTCTGATATGAGAATTGTTTTTATATTTTTTTTTTTTCTGATATGAAAATTATGGTTTTTTTATATTCTTTTATTTTTTTGAATGGCATGATCGCGAAAATTCTAGAAATCCATCATTATGATGTAATCAGCAAAATTATATATATATATGTATATTGCATGATAAAATAAATCGTGAGAGAATAGATTTAATAATAAGGTAATGGTCTTCAAAGACCACTGAATAACGTGAAAATGGAAAAGGTGCAACCAAGGATTTAAAATCTACGATAACCATTATCTTCGATTCGGAATCGAAATAAAGAAACGATAATTTTATATAAACAACAACATTAAACAAATAAAAAAAAATGTAAACATGCGAAACTTGATTTTACTTGATTATTTACCAGATTTACCTTTTTTTTTTTATTGAAGTTCTCTTCCCAAAAAACAAGGATAAATAAAATGGACCTGAAAATACCCCATAAAATTCTTGTTATACTACTATCTATAATGTGTGTATACAAAAATTATTAATTCATAAATTTATATAAAAAGTTACTACAAAAAAAATTTCCCAAATATATATAAAAATAATAAAATATTTAAATATTAAAAATATGTATATAACAATTATTTTAATCTAAAGATAATCTTGATTCCCTTCGATCTCTTATATGAGAATCAATCATACTTTGTCTGTTTTGAGAATCTTTCTTACTTTCGAATATTCTTACTAGAGCACTTTGTCTTCTATCATCAGAAACATCCTGATCATCATCAGCAGCAGCAGCATTAGCAGCCCCAAATACAGCAAAAACGTATATATTACGAATCATATTTCTAAAGCAAAGACTTGCGTATATGATGGTAAGTATTACCAAAAATAAGGTTACAGATAAGAAGAAGGTTAAAAATTTTCGAGTAAATTGATAAGGATCTACTCCTTCTTTTGGTTTCATATTAACTTTTACCAATTTCCATACAAAATAAATTAATGAAAAACATAAACAATTAATCACGACGAGTAAAACGAATTTTAACTCATGTGATATCGAAAACCAAGCCATCAATAATAATAAAGTTCCGCAAATGAATAATATAACGGTTTCCAGAATTGACGTTGAATAACCGATTTTTTGAGATGGAATAAGTTGAATTGCATATGCTCCAACAAAGAAAACATCCATTTTTATTAAAGTTTGTAAAATTGAGAGTAATATGTACGCTTTACGAATTCGAGTATCTGCTGAATAAGTACGATAATTTTTCCATCCGAATTCTTTTTTTTTTTTTTTTAAAAAAAAAAAAAAGAGAATTAATCAAATATCTTTTTAGTTGAGTTATTGTATTATTATTATTATTAAAAAATGAATGAATTATAAATACCTATCGATAGTTTGAAAGAAACCAATGCCAAATATAAAGAAAATCCTGCTACAATTCCAATGATTATATATTCCAATGGTCTCATTTTAGATCGAAAATAATTTATAGCATATTGGGAATCAGGATAATTTTCAGTATCACTATATTTAAATTTCGCATCATTTAATCCAACATCTTCCAATATTTTATGTTGATAAAGTTGTATTCCGGCATAAACCAAGGAAAGTAAATTAAATATAACTAAAGAAATTAATTCAATCGTGTTACTATTTACTATAGAATCAACTGCTAATACTACTTGATAACATAATGCAAGGATGAAACTGAATTTTAAATAAAAAAATAAATAACAAAAAATTTTAGTTAAAATATTATGAATACTGTAATGATTAAAAATGAACTAATACTTACATAGCATGATATATCAGATCAGCTTCTGATATACCTTCCCCTTGATTATCAAGTTCAAACAAAGACACACAAGTTACATGATAATATATAACAAAACATTCTAATACTGTTACTACAATAGCTTGCAGTACAACAGAAGCCAATGTAATTTTTCCTGTAATCGATATTTTACGAGTATCGTGACTAGCCATAATTAATTACTTCAAAAATAATGATGATTAATAATATAACTAATTATATGTTATAATAATCTTTTTTTAAAGGACAAAAAAAAATTGCTTTTAAATAAAAAAAATAATATTTTTTAAAAGATCAACAGATTTTTTTTTTTGAAAAAAGGAAAGAAAAATAAAGGGAGAATCATCTAATAGAAAGCAAGATTGTTACAAAAAAATTATTTATATACAAGTTTAAAAAATGTCATTTTTATTTATTTGTTAAAAATAAAAATTTATAATATGGCTAAGCCGATATCTACTACTAAAAATGGGTAATTAAAATAAACTAAAAATATTGTAATATATTTTTACTGTTCTATCGGAATATGTGGAGTATTTGTATTTGTCTAATTCTTTTATATAAAAACATCGCAAAAATTTTTTTTTAAAAAATCTCCCATTTCCCCCCCCTCAAATTTCATAAATTTCAGTCTATTTTAACATAATAATAATTTTTTTTTTTTTTTTACAAATAGATATATTAAATAAAATGTCTAGTCTTCAACCTTTTCGTCTAGCCATACAATCTAATACAATTAATATTTTTAGTACAACTCTTCGTTACACATCCGAACAGCCATCAATTAAAACTATTAAAATTGATAAGAATGATTTAAAGAAAGAATATTTAAAAGCAAAACTATATAAAGATGGTTGTACGGAAGTAATTCGACCTATTGTAGGTGAAAAGCAAGAACATCCTAAAGTTGAATTTTGTACTTGGGATTGTTTAAATTATGCGTTGAAATTAAAGGAGAAAGGATTAAATCCATTAGTACTTAATATGGCAAATGACGAACATCCTGGTGGAGGTAAATATAATAATAGTAAACATACGTCATATCTACATCTTATGGTCTGCATCTATAATTATAAAATTTGATAAAGTAACCCATGCGCCACAATAATAATAATAATTAAATTAAAATTAAATATAATAACAATTTTAAGGATATCTCGTTGGAGCGGGTGCACAAGAAGAAAATTTATTCCGTCGTACCAACTTATTTCAATATCATGAGAGCAATAGTCACTGGTATCCATTTCAAAATGCGGGTACTCATATAAAATTCAATTTATAATAATTGTTTGTGTTTATTTTTTTTATGTACGTACGATAATACTTTCTATGCTATGTGCGTACGATAATCGTGACAATTTTATTGTGAATGTGATTTTTGTGGAATGTAGTAAAAATGTAACGACGAATAATAACAGCGATGAAAATAAATGAAATAAATGCAAATTGTGAATGAATAATAATAATCATTAATAACAATAATAATAATATTATTATTAACGATTATTTTAATGATTAATCATTATTAATAATAGTAATCATTTAATAACAATAATAATCATTAATCTAATAATAATAATCATCATCATTTAATAACAATAATAATCATTAATAATAATCATAATAATAATCAAATAATTAATATGTATATATTCATATATTTTTTTTAGGGGGTATCTACTCTCCAAATGCTTTAGTGATAAGAGCTAGTGAACAAGAAAACTATAAATTATTATCTGTACCGACAAAAATGTCATTCGTGGTATGTATCGCGTTTCAAATTTTCCGAAAAAAAAAAAACAAAATAATGATAAACAATAATAAATAATTTGACTATTTTAGTCTGTGGCTGCATTGAAATTTCCAGAACTTGTGGAAGAAGAAGAGGAAAAAGAAGAGGAAAAAGAAGAGGAAGAAGAAGAGGAAAAAGAAGAGGAAAAAGAAGAGGAAAAAGAAGAGAAAAAAGAAGAGGAAAAAGAAGAGAAAAAAGAAGAGAAAAAAGAAGAGGAGAAAGAAGAAGAGAAAGAGGAAAAGAAAGAAGAGGAGAAAAAAGAGGAGGATAAAGAAGTAGAGAAAAAAGTAGGGGAGGAAAAAGAAGAGCAGAAAAATGTTAATAAGAAAATTGAATATAAAAAATATACATTAACTCCCGAAGCAAAAGAATTAACTCGACAAAAAATTAGAGCAATTATGAACATTGGAATAGACAATGGTATATTTTAAATTTTCCACAACTACAAACTATTACTCACTATTACTCACTATTAATTATTATTATTATTATTATTATTATTATTATTATTATTATTATTATTATTAACTATTAACTCTAATAATAATAATAAAGGTCACGATGCAATAGTTCTCAGTGCATTCGGATGTGGAGCATTTCGCAATCCACCTATCACAATGGCAGAATTATTTTATGAAATAATTACAAAAGAATTTGCGGGAGGTAAAGAAAATTTACCCAAAACTTATCGTCATATCGGATTTTCCATATTCGATGATAAATCAGTTATGAGAAGAAAAGATGGTCAAGGGAATGTTGAACCTTTTAAAAGAATTTTTGATAATTTTGTGTGGAAATAAATAAAATGTTCTTTTATTTTTTTTTTTTTTATAAAGGATTATTTTTATTACGTTATTATTATTTTTTTCATCTTTTATATATTCTTTTGTTTTGTATATTTTTTATTTGTATATTATTTTATTTCCGGACGAATTGAATTGATTAAGTCCCGATTAATCTTAAATCCATACTCATTACATTTAAATAATCTGCTTGTATAGACCTTGGATACATATGTTATTACAATTTTTACCAAATTCTTCTGCTTCAGATACCAGTATCTTTCTATAAGACATTTGTACGCTATTAAATTTTGTAATACAATTATACCAAAAGTCTAAGTTATTCACAATGCAATTTTTTTTTATTCACTAAATTTTGAATGTGTCTCCATATGTGTGTGTGCTTGAGTACACTTAATAGAATTACTTTTTTTACTGATACTTTAATGATATGTGAAATGAAGAGTAAGGCAATTTTCTTTCCTCCTCCTCAAGGATATTTTCGTCAATTTTCGTTTCAGATTATTTTTGCATGTTGGACTTTCTTCCGCAAATTCGTAAATTCGTTATTATTAGGGTCCTTCAAAAGAATGTGATAATTAAATTGGTTACTTTACTTATTGATAATATTATATTATAATTAATCATACTACCTCAACTTCAGTGGTGAAAGCATAAGAAACTTCATCTTTTTCGTCGCGTTTTCCTATTGTGCGTTCAAGTTTTCATTCACCTGTTACATATAACTTTGTCCCATTTCGTTCTTCGTCGCTGACCCATTTGAAATGGTTGCAAGGAAGTGAACTTGGAAATTCTGCTCATAAGCATCCAAAATGTTCTCAAATTCATTGGTCTCGTTGAATTTAATATGATACTTTTGGGATATATTTTTTTTGCTCTTGAATGAATCTCAGGCTAGCGGTCCACTTGTTAAGAATTTTATTGATCATTTTTGGCGCGTCTCCAGGATTAATATTAGAAGAGTAAAAACATTTAAACGACCAATATCGTGCATCTGTGTTCGCAAAGAAACTATATTTCATACGTTTAAACCGATATTTTTCCGGGTTCATTTTGTTCATGATCGGTTTTATATTCTCTGAAACATATGATATGATTTAAAATATTGAATTGGTCTATAAATGGACATAATAACATTTGTCGATAATGACAATTAATGATATCAGGACAATTAGTTTGTTTTACAACGAAAATTTTTCCCATGAATTTTTAATATAAGGTTGAAGATTTGTATCTTTTATTTTCAATTATGGGCAATGCCAGTAGTAGCAGTTATGGAAGTAGTGTTCCTGTTTTACCAACTCCAGGTTCATGTTTCTGTAATTCACCTTCATATGCTTAATTTTGATTTTTATATGGGATATTACCTTTTTTTTTCTTTTGTAATTTACAGATGATTACGATTGGTCAGGTCTTAGAGAATTATATAACTCTCATGTGTATAGTGCAAAGATTAAACAGATAAATTTTTTAGGAAGTTTAGGTCCAGCGTTAGATTTTGGTCTTTATATTACCACTACGAATGGAAGGTCGTATCTAATCCATAGCACCAATGCTAGTGGTGATCAAGTCATTACCGAGGCAAGACACATGTCCAGTGATTGGAAGGATTTTAATTCTGTAATTATCAACAGCCCAAAAAATAATCCAACGATTGGTGACCTCATGGCGTCGGCTAGAAAAGATGGAAGTTATGTTTTATATAGAAATAACTGTATTCACACTGTTGGCAAAATTATATTGGATCATTTTAATTATACTATTTTATAATTTTGATGCATGTCATTTTCACGAAATAGTAGCTGCGAAGCAAAAAAAAAATGACTTTATTGGTATATAATAATATTTTTACAAAAAATTATAATGCAAAGGCTGGTCTATATAGGTAGAATCGTGAAGAGGGAGGAATAAAGCACGAAAACATGCCAACCGAGATCTTAAGCCCCTTTACAGTCATTAATTGTAGAACTACTAATTGTCGCTGCTTTAATTTTACCACCAAGTCATTTTTCTCAAAATAAAAATCATGCTAAAATAACAAATCATGCCTGATATCATAGGACCTCACTTTATTATTGTCAGATAAGAAAAATAAAAGTATATACGGTTATATTTGCTAATACACTATTACAAATAAAATTTAACTTTCTCATTAGGAATAACGTGATCTGGTCGAAAAATCATCCTCATTAAATTTCCGTGCTCGAGTATTGATGTAAGTCGGATAATTAAGACTATTTTTCGCGATTCCTTAAGAGTCGAAAAAAATTTTGCGAACCCAGAAATCGATTTATCGAACTTTTTTTATATAGTAATAAATTGAATCTCCGAAGCTAGTCGTACAAAAATGTAATTTTTTATAGAAACTGTAAATTACATTTTATTATCATCTTAAAAGATTCAGAGGCTTGTTATTTCTCACCTTTCTTCCGTCATGTAATAAAACATGAGCAACACTTAAGTAGAAAATTCGTTTATTATTTCACCATCGAAATGGAAAGGCAGCGACCAAAAAAAAAATTGAAAAAAACGTCAGTATATATGAGAAATTGGGTTGCACGAAAACATGTGAATTCTCCCACTGATAAAGCTTATTTTCTCAAAATTATTAATAGCCATAATACATCACATTATAAAAAGCCGGCCTGAAAAATTGAATCGTGGAGTAGGGACAAAGAGGGAGGAATAAAGTATATTATCTATGCCTGCCGGATCCCAAGCCCTTTACATAGTAAAGAAATGGCAGTTCCTTTCCCACCCCACTAGCTATCGTTATCATTGTTATTATATACTTAAAAAATTATTTCTATTGCTACACTGCAAATAATAACGGAATTATCTTTTTTTCTGGTTTTCTTTCTCAATCCAGTTCTAATGAAGTACGTTGCAGTGATTTTTTTATATGCCGATTGGACTAAGACCAATTTCTTTAGATAGAGCATTGTTACATTTTTGTGGGATCGTTTTTTTTCTTTCATCAAACAATGCGGTAAAATCAATCCAAATGGTTTCTGTTTTTCAGATCGATTTGTTTGTGTAGATGTTTGCCTTAATTATAGAATGCGGATATTATAAGAATACAATCTAAAATTGTTTCACAAACCTCCATTTCGGGCTTCACTGCTTCAGTATGATTTTTTTTTAAAGCCAAAATGTCTCGTTCAAGTTTTGATTCTGTAGCGGGAATTGGCATTGAAAGATTAAGCATATTTCTTCGAATAAAAAACAATAAAATTGTTAGGGGTGGCAATGTTATAAATGATGATAATTGCGGCTATCAGATGATCTAAATTAGGTGATCTTTAATGCCAGCTGGAATTATAAAAATTAGTACGGGTGAAATTAGCTAAACCTATTTCAATATAAAATTTTGATGATAATCAAATAATCAGGATCAGTAAAAAACAACATTTTTAATAATGATTTCTAAATTAAAAATTTGTTGTGCAAGAAATTATCATCGTTCATATAAATTATTATTAATTCGTGATAATATTATTTATAATTTTATTCTTCGTAATAATAATAATAATTATTATTATAATTATAATAATATTCGTTGGCATAGTAACATAAACAAAAAACGAAGGTATTTTTTTTTCATTTTAAAATTAAACAACTCTTATTATTTTTCACAAATAATAACAAATACAATACAATATATACATTTATACATATATATATAACTATATAACAAATATAACCATATACATAACATAATATATATATAATATATATAGTGGTAATAGGTCAAAACTTGAAGAAAGAACTTTAAAAATTGAAAAAGAACTTAAGATGATGGAAGAAAAAATAGATAGATTTGATAAACAACAGATGACCAAGTCTATTAATGAACCTCCACTTCAAGAAGACGATTTTACTAAAATGTATGAATCATTAATATCACCACTTTCTCCTTCTCCATCATCACCATCATTATCAAAAAAGAGACAACAACAACAACAATTACATCAACAACAATTTGAAATGTTATCAATTCACGGAGAATTAGAAGAACTAGAACGTGAACTTGGATATGAACATGATGAATTACCACCAGGATTACCAAAATTATCAGGGTTACCAGGATTACCAGGATTACCAGGATTGCCAAAATTACCACCAGAATTAAAATTATTACCATCAGCTCAACAAATCAAACAGTCTGTAAAAAATGAACTACCTTCTTCACCTGAAAAACATGGAAGCTTGGTGTTACAGGATTATAATAAAATATTGTATACTTGTGTACATATAAATTATACTTAATATGTTTATTATATATATTTGATATGATTTATTATGTATAAAATTTTATTTATTTATTCCTCAATTATATTTATTTCATTTCAATTAAAGGCCATACAAAACAAAGTGAAAGAAGCTGAAATTATAATGAAAAAAATGAAGGTAAAATAATACTAATACACATATATATACATTTGTATATTTAAAAAATATTGAAATATGATAATAATAAAATAATTATATAATTTATATAATTTATATATAATTTATAGGAAAGAGGAATTGAACCAGATATACATACTTATGAACAACTCATCAATGTATATGCAAGTGTTGGAAACATAGAAAAATCATTATCAACATTTGATATGATAGATTATAGTAAGATTTATAACATTGATTCTATATTAATTATATCTTAGTTTATTTTATATCTTAATTCTATATTAATTAATTAATTTATATATTTATTCTATATTATTTAAATTCAAACTTTATATATGACATAAGAGAAATTAACACAAACAGTATACAGTTATGGAAACTTAATAAAAGCATATGTTAATAATCTTCGTACTGATGATGCATTTAATGTTTATTCGAAAATGAAAGCTGCCAAAATATTACCTAATCAAGTGAGTAAATAATAATCATTTATGACTATTTGATAATTATTACTTAGGGATTCAAGAAAATATTTTATAATTAATTTTTATAGCCAATTTTTTCGATGCTTATTAAAGTATGTATTAAAAATGGTGAAATACCTCGAGCTTGGAAAACATTTGATCACATGCGATTAGAAGTTTGTCAACCTGATGAAGTGACTTATAGTTTGATGATTCATGCTTGTGCAAAAGTATGTATGAAATAAATTATATAAATTATATAATTATATATATATATATATATAATAATTTTTTATAATAATAATAATAATTTTTTAATAATTATAAAATTAGACTAGAGATGCAGAGAGAGCTTTTGATTTATATCAAGAAATGAAAGATAAAGGATTAAGTCCAACTGATGTAACATTTAATTCATTAATTGATGCATGTGCACATCGTAAAGATATCCTTTCTTTATTCTTTATTTCTAAAAGAAATATTATAATTATTTTAATTTCAATATTATTTCACCTTAATTGATTTAAATTATCTAATTATACATTATTATGAAGAAGCATTCAGATTATTAAATGAAATGGAAGATTATGGATATACTCCTGATTTATTTACATATAATTCACTATTATATGCTTGTTCACATAAAGTTGATTTCTATACTGCCAGAAAATTATTTATTTTAATGATGCAAAAGTAAGAATTATTAATATTTATTATTAATTATTTATTTATTAGTTATTTATATACTATTATTCATTAAATATTAATTATAATTATTATTTTTAAAAATTTGTAGTGGATTAAAAGATCAATCATTAGCACCAGATGATACTACATTCACAAATTTATTTTGGGTTTATGGTGCATATAAAGAACAAAATAATTCAAATCTAATAAAGAATTTAACATCATCTCAATCACCATCAATATCTTCATCACCATTACCATCATTACCTTCTTCTTCTTCTTCATTTGAAGAAATAAGTGACTTTGATGATGATTTATTGATAGAGGAAGATATAAATGAGAATGAGATTGATAATCGTAATAATAATTATAATAATGACAAGATTGTTTTTAAAGAAGATAATCATGATTTATTAACAATTGGATCTCATGTTTATCCTTTATTAAAAAATTTTCCTTTAACACACAAACAGGTTCTAATTGAAGCAGATATATTATTTAATTATATTATATCTTTAACAAATAACAATCATGACAACAAAAACGTCAACAACAACAACAATAATAATGACATTATTAAAAACACTCAAATCTCTAATATATCATCAAGATTATTTAATTCATATTTAACTGTAATTGAAAAAAAAGGACAACTTCAAGAAGTTCTTGATCATTATAAAGACACCATACCAAAATATAATATTGAACTTGATGGATGGATATTTTTAACATTATTAAATGCTTGTTATAGGCATAAAAAAGTTGAATTTGCTTGGAGTATTTGGCAAGATTGGCAAATTTGGTGGAAATTAAAAAAACAAGATTTGGTCATTATACAAAAATTAAATAATCATGATCAAAGAAATGAATTTAAAAGATTGGGATTAACTAAAAATTTAGAATATGACACTTATAAATTAATGATTAACATTTTGGCCAGGTAAATTTTATAATATAACATTTTTTATAAGATATTTTTTTTTTTATAATAATAAAATATTCTCTAACATTTTCTATATATATTTTCAAGATGTGAAGATATATGGGGAGCAATAAGATTATTACAAAAATTATCTCAAACCCAAATTCCTAAATTTGAACATTTTCAATTATTAAGATTAAAATGTTTAGAAAAAGAAAATGAATTAGCTTTAACTAAATTAATGGAATTAAGTTACTTCGATGAAGGTACACCTGGAACAAAAGTTAAAGAATTATTAGCTAAAAAATGGAAAGGAATTAATGTTTTACCAGGTAAAGTGGGTAGAAAAGTATTACAAATGAAACTTAAAAATGATGATTCAAATAAATTTAAAGGTAAAATTGATTGGAAAAAATTTAAGGAAGGTAAAAAAATTGATGGGAAACAGTTTAAAAAAAGAAGAAATTAATAAAAAATATATTATAAATATTGACATTTATTTATTTATTTATTTATTTATTTTAATTTTAATAATTTCAATAATATAATATTCAATACTCTTGTTGTTCCTTTTCTTCTTGTTCACTATAACTATCATTTTCAATTATGGTTCTAAAAGTTAAACTAATCCTTCTACTTCTTATTATTTTTTCTCTACAATTCAATTGATTTTCATTATCACCATTATAATTATTATTGTTGTTGTTGTTGTTGTTGCTATTATTAAAGTATTCAATAAGATCTTTTGATATAGAATGTTTATAATCATATCTTGAAGATTTTGTCATTACCACTAAAGATCTTGGACCTATTTTGTGTGTGTGCATAAAGAAATATAATATTAATTTATATAAATATTTAGTAATTTAAAGAAATCTTTATAGATAAGAGTTCAATATGAAAAAAAAGGAAGGAAAGAATGAAAATGAATACTTACGTAATAATACTACTTCATTTTTATCAGCAAAATTTTTATGTTCAAATTTCATTAAACAAGAAGATAATAATGAAAGACTTAATACTACTGGCCCAAACAATGAAGGAGAATCTGTATGAGGCATTATGCCTTAAAAATAATAATAATAATAATAAAGATTTATTTTAAATTTATTAAAATTTATTAATTATTTTTTTTTTCTTTACAATACCTTGACCAGCCATATACTCATTTACGATACACATATTTGGTATATCCTTAATATTATCATTATTATTAATATTACTAATAATATTTTGATTAATAAATCTTTGAATTAAGAAATTAATAAAATCTGGAAATGAACCTAAATGTTTCGTTATTTTTCTAAATAATTTAATAAAATAAAAATAAAATTAAATTAAATTTTTAGAAATCAAATCAGATTAAAATAATAAATAATAAATAATAGTACTAAACTTACCGATATCTATAACTAAATTCGTATCCATAATGTTGAGTACGTCTTTTCATTTCTGGATTTGGTCTGAGTGTCAAAAATTAATAATAAAGCGAGAATAATAATAAATTAAATAAATAAAAATAAATAAATAAAAATAAAATTAATAATAATAAAAATACATACGAAATCCCAAGTCCACACCATTCATTTGAATCAATCTTATTAATTAAATCTTTTTCTTCATCTTTAGTAATAAAATCCTCGATAATGTAAAGTCCATCTAATGATGTCTCTATTTTCTTTAACATTTTTTTATTTTTTTATTTTTTATTTATTTTTTATTGATTATTTTTAATTATTTTTTATAGATTTTAAATTAATTATAATTAATTTTTATGCAAAATATGCTGTTAATGTAACCACCACCACATAAAAAAAAAAAAAAGAGAAAGATAAGCACAAAGCATGAAATTAAAATTTTGCGTTTGGGGGAGAACAGACTCAAAGATAATCTAAATGTAATGTAATCCATAAATTCTTTATAAATACTTTTTTATTTTTTATTTTGTTCGATCAGCGAATGTCGATCTTATGAATTTTTCCGATGCGTCTTAGAATTGACACCAGTCGGTCAGAACAGACGAACTCACTGAATTTGCTTGATGATTCATCTGGAAAACGTATGCATAATCTTTTTGATATCGTAATATGATTAAATCATTTATGGGATTTTAGTTACACATTTATTACATTTATTGTAAAAATCAAAAAACGAATTTTGGAAAATTAAGAGATTATAATAATATTATAAATACTTATTATTGAGTCATCATTAAATTGATGCACATCGCCAACTTTTTTTTTTATTTTTTGTTTTTTTTTATTGCTTTTTACGTTTTTTTTACTTTTTTTTTACTCTTTTTTTTTTCTTTTTTTTTCTTTTTTTCTCATCAATTAAAATTCTCATTGTTCCGATTGCTATATTAATTATATTTCATTTTGTATACCCGTGATCAATGTAAATTTTTATGCAAAGTCGCCACGCTGACATTCCGATAGCTTATTGAAAGTTATTGAAAGGTATCAAATGAACAATGGTCTTAATGATTTTTTTTTTTTCTTTCATTAAAAAAATCTTTAATACCACAATTTCAAATCATATTGTTCTATATTGTTCCGCTGATTTTAATTCGGATTGGCGCCACACAATGTGTGCGACCTAAAGGATGCATTCCTTGTTCTGCAGAACAATGTCGTAACAGTTTAAAGGCAGATTTTGAAACCGAATTTGGTGATATTATTTATGAATTTGTGGCGAATTAAGGAATTTTTTTTTGCAAAAATAACTCCATAAATAGACCACACATAAAAGTTTTCTTTGAATAAAGTAACCGTATTGAAATCGCTAGTCTCAAGAAAAAAAATTACTGAAATTCCCAAATTTTTAATCTATGGGTTTTGGTAAGTTTCAAATGTTATTTATTTATGTTTAATATATTTGATAGATTTGATCAATAAAGTAATTTTTTCCCCACATCTTATTCACGTTCACATTTATTCGCATTTATTCACATTTTTTATTCACAAATAATAATAATAATAATCACTTAATAATAAAAAAAAAAAATTAAATATTCACAATGATATTTTAATATTCATTTATACATTTTAGATATGCCTCTTGTCTTTTACTTTAAAAAAAAAATTGAAGTCAATTTTGTTTTCCAAATGTTACGAAAATTCTCTTTCACCAAGAATAAACCTTACATACCTCCATTATTATTGATGGAATGTCTTGAAGAAATTTTCGAACACTTAAAAAACGATAGAGCTGCTCTTTATTCGTGTATCTTCGTGAATCGACTTTTCTGTCGTTTGGCTATCCCTTTATTATGGCGTCGACCTTTTGAATATCCAAATAAATATAGATTTCGACTTATACGTACTTTGATTTCTTGTTTAGATGATAATCAAAAGAAACTTTTACTTGAAAAAGGTTTAAAAGTTCCTGATTTACCGAAACCATTTTTTGATTATCCAAAATATATGAAAGGATTTGATTTCTTTCATTTTTCGGAAGCTATAGAGAAATGGGTAGAAGGAAATTATTGGACAATGTCTCCTCCCCTTATAAAAAATATGGAATTCATTGAAAGTCTTATTGGAAATATGTTATTTAGTCGTTCAAATGGATTACATATATTTAAATATTATCGAGGTTTCGGAAATATAATTAATTATCAATATTTTGCTGATATAAAATTGTACTCTGGATTTTCACGTTCATTATCAAAATTAAGAACTTTTGAATTTCAAGCATTTAGTTATCGTAATGATAATTCTTTTTCTGCTTGGTCAAATTTATTTATTAGTATTGCAAATTCCACCAAAAGTATAGAACATTTATCACTTTTCATTCCTGCTAAAGCTCATCATAATCAACAACTTCGTGATGCATTATCACAATTAATTGAATCACAAACAAATTTTTCAAGTTTAGTTATAGATGAATCAACGGCTAAATTCATTCATGAAGCACTTATAATTAAAGCTCGTTTTCTTAAATTCTTGAGGGTCACTTGGCTAAAAAATTTTAATTTATTACATCAACTTTTATCGATTTGTCAAAATTTAGAAACTTTAGAATTTTCTCAAGCTTCAAATTTTGAAAATAGTGCGATCGATCAAAATCATCTAATCACTCAACTTTCTCTTAAAAATCTTTATTGTGGAGATGAAAATCCTTCACCGTATATAGTTTCAACAATCCTTAAAATGTCAAATCAAAATTTGAAAACACTTTCGTTAAGAAATGTTACACCTGAAATTTTAGATACCATAGAACAATTTTGTCCTAAAATTACTCATCTTTGTTTAAAAATATCAGCCAGACAATTTCCAAGATTTATAACATTATTATCAGGATTAGCGCTTGAACATTTGGCTATTGAAAATTTACCGGAAGAATCAAAATATACATCAGAAGATATTAAATTATTGGCTCAAACGATTCCACTTTCTTTACGTTACTTCGGTATAAAATTTTTGGCATCCTCACGTGATCTCATGATATTCTTTAAAGAATGTGGAGCATCTTTAAACATTTTAGCATTATATTATATTCCAAAAATGAGTATCGATTCCTTAGAACAAATATTTAAATATTCCAAATGTATACAAAGTTTAAAAGAAATTAGATTTGATAGAAAAATTTATAAATATTATGAATCATTACCACCTCAGGATATGGAAAAATTTTCGGTATATAAATATAATGTTGGAGAAGCAAGGCCCTTGAGTTATAGATTTTATGGTAAGTTTGATTCTACTACTTTATTTTCTTCTTCTTCTTCTTATATTTCCACTCTTTCTTCCACTTCCACTTCCACTTCCACTCCCACTTCTATTTCCACTTATTTGTCATCATTTACTTCTTCGTTATGGTGATTTTTCAAATGTTTAATATATATATATTTAATAAAATCTATTTTCATTTAATAATATAATATATATATATATATATATTTAGAAATGGATGTTTTAATAGATGAAAATTTTTGAATTTCTTTTTCTCCTTTGTCTCGATCTTTTTTTTCGATCTCTTCCTTCCTTTTGGGTCGTCAAAATTATTTCATTTATAAATATATATATATATATATATTTTGTTATATATTTGTTATATTTTTTATTATTTATTTATATATATATATTTATATTTATATATTTATTACATTTTATTATTATCACGAGTACCCAAATTTTCTTATATTTTCTTTTATAAAATAATGTTATTTAGAATATATATAGAATTGTATAGTTTGCTATAGTGTATATTTGTTTAGGCTTTAGTTGTAAAAATAGACAGCTTTCATTTTTTTTTTTTTTGTAAAATAAAGTAATTTTTTTATATGAATGTAAAAAATATATCTTATACATATATTATTTTTTTATATACTTATTTTTTTTTGTACATTTTATCTTTTATACAACACATTATTATTTCGTTGTTATTATTATTATTATTACTACCCCTATTACCTTCTATATTATTATTATTTCTTTTATTATTTTTTATAAGTTTTCTTTTTTGGTTTCGTTTATTGGGATTTAGGAAGAAATGTTAAATAAAATATAAATCGTTCCTAATAATTAATACACGCGCGTTGTAATAATTGATATATTTTCACTGGTAACGTGGTAATGTAGATCACATCTTTACACTGATAATTAATATTTTTTTTATTTTATTAATTAATTATTTAAATTATTTAATATAATTTATTTTATTTTTTTTGCTAGGTGTCAAAACAAAGCTTTTCAACGTTACATAACTGAGAACCATGAATATTTGTACAAAAAAGAAATATATTGTAACGTTTATTTTTTTATATATCATTAATTGTTTATAATTTACTAAGTGTTTATATTATTATATTTTTTTCTACATATGGTACCCCACGAAGAAGATAAAAGAAGCTAGAAGAAAAATGGAAGTAAAAAATGAACGAAATGAGATACAAAAATATTCATGGTTTATCTAAGTATAGGTTCATTTTACTTTAAAAAAAAAAAAAAACTTTGGAACGCAGCATACATTTCATGTATTTTATGTATTGTATTTTTAATGTATTTAAATTGACATATCGAAAATAAAAAAAAATATATATATATTATTTATCAAATTTTCTGCGTCGCGTCTGGATACACAACGGGCTTTCCCTCATTTACACATGAAAAAAAGATCAGTTGATTTGCATATTCTGAAAAAAAATAATTTTTTTTTTTTGCTCGGCAGAAATATATAATAAAATTCCGATCAAATATTTCGACCCACAATTCCGATAAATATTTCAATATAATATTTCGATATAACTCATTCTTTTTCTCTTTCTCTAACATATATCTGCACTGCATAACTTTGCATGTTCGAGAAATCTTGTATAGCATTCGCTGGAATTTGCTAGAATATGTTCTCACGTGGTTAAACAGTATAAAATGTAATTTCAGTAGTTTCTTTTTTTGATTAAAGTAAAAAAATTGTTTTTTTTTTTTTTTTAATTTAAAATTCTCGATAATATGCCAGTTTGTGTTAATAAAGGATGTCAACAAACTTATAATGAAGATGAAAATAACGATGAAGCATGCTGTCATCATCCATCGCCGCCAATTTTTCATGAAGGTTTTAATTTTTTTTTTTTTGCAAGAAATGTATTTTATAGAATCCGATACTAATAATATTATTATTTGATATAATTCTGTAGGATTAAAAGGATGGCAGTGTTGTAAACGCAGAGTTATGACTTTCGAAGAATTTCAACAAATACCTGGTTGTACTCGAGGGTAAATCATTTATATTTCTCTCCCCTATATAAAAATACAAACATTTATAAACCCATAAATATTTTTTTTTAGTCGACATTCTTCCGAAGCTCCCAAACCAAAAGAATCTACTACTACTCCCAAATCAACTGAAACGAAAGAAACACCCAATATTTCGAAAATTGATGAAAATGGAGTGGAAGTATATGAAACGAGTACAAAATATGCTCCGCCAGCTCCCCAACCTCCTTCACAACAATTCGAAAAAATTGTTCCACCTCTTGAAAAGGAACCAGAAGAAGATGATCTGAGTATTCCGGTTACTGCTGGTACAAAATGTAAACGAAACGCGTGTAATTGTGTATATGTCGATGATGCAACTAGTCGTGGTGAAGGATCTGAAGCTAAATGTAATCATCATCCCGGAACTCCAATTTTTCACGAAGGCAGCAAAGGTATGCGTATATTATATGATATTATATGATATTATATTATATATGTGGCTTAAATTAATTATTATTGTCAAAAAAAAAAAAATTAGGTTGGAGTTGTTGTTCTCGAAAAGTCTTAGAATTTGATGAATTTTTAAAGATCAAAGGATGTAAGACTGGAAACCATTTGTTTGTCGGATCTGATAAAAAAGATAAAAAAGAGGTTTATACTTCCCATACGTGATGATTTGATAATTGAATTTATTTATTATATCAAAACTAAATATTGATTGAATGATAATTATATTAAATATATGTTAAATAAAAGGAAGAAGAGTTTGTACAATGTCGACATGATTGGTTTGTTCAATAATAATTTTGTTAATTTCACTATTAAATTTCATTATCAATTTCACTTACTAATTTCATTTCTTTAATAATTAATTAAAAAAAAGGTATCAAACCCCAAAATATGTTATAATGTCTATATTTGTAAAGAAAATTGATAAAGAAAAGTCCACTATTATTTTTAAAGAAAAAGAGGTTTGTAATTTGTTTTTATGTAATTTTTTTTTTTTTATTTTATACTTTTTTTTTTTTACAACTTGAAATCTTAAAAGAATATAATAAACTAATTTAAATGTAAATAAAATATAGTTAAATGTTGATATAAAAACTACAGATGATAAAAGATTCAAACAAACCTACCCATTATATCAATATATTGATCCAGAAAATTCTAAATATGAATTCCTTTCTACTAAAATTGAAATTAAATTAAAGAAAGGTAATTTCATTTTTTTTTTCTGATTTTAAAAAATTTTTAATCTAATTAATCTAATTAATCTTACGTATATATAAATATGTGATGTTTTAAGCAAATGGAATTTCATGGCCATCACTGAGATCAGATGAAGATTATATGGCCGCAACTACCTTTGGAGTTCAAGGAGGTGATGCCACAGTTGGTGGAAAGAATTATACCCTTGCCACAGATTCTCCATTATATGCAAATAAACAATAGATCCAATAACAGGTTAAATAGAGAGAAAATTCATAATTTTACTAACAATAAATTTTTTTTTTTTTTTTTTTTGATATTCATCTTATATGAAGAAGGAATTTCTGATAAAATACTATCAAAATACTATAAAATATTATATAAAATATTATATATGTTACAATATTTTATATAACATTTTGTAATAATTTAAGTATTTAATCCTTTAAACCTTCTAAAGCCAATGCTTGTAATGTCATTGACACTTCAGTTTCTTCATCTTCTATTACATTTTCACCATATTTTGTTTGAACTTTGGTGAAAGATTCCAATAAATCGCCTAAATAAAATTTATAATATCAATTCAATTAATATTATTAATATTATTAATTCAGTTAACTTTATATAAGAAAAAAAAAATAGATATATTACCACCAACTCTTTTTCGATTGACATCTTCTTCAATACTTTTCTTTTTTTGTTTCTTTTGTTCAAATTGTTCAATCATTCCAGGATCCTTAAATTTTAATTTCAAAGTGGGATGTTTGTCAAATGTAACTTTACCTTCCCATAACCATGAAGGAATTGTATAAGGAATTTCAATCTCTGCAGAAAATTTTTCAATAAATTCGCTTTCTTCAAAAGATATTACACCACCACGAAGATATCTAAAAAAAATATTTATTATTGTTATAATAATAATAATAATAAATAATAATAACAAATAATAATTATGAAGTCACGAGATACCTTAAGAATTCACCCATTACTGAAGGAATGCTCCACATTTGTAATTTTCTTAAACAAGCAACTACCAAACCAGTGACATTAGCACCATCTAAACAATGTATGAATATTGGATGATTGGTTGGATCTATTATTATCTTTTTTTTTTTATATTATAAAAGAAGTGAGAATAAAGAATATTTAATAATAAATAAATAAAGGTTAACAATCAGTATAATATTATAAATATATTATAAATATAAATATATTAAAATCATTGTAAATATTGGAATATTAATAAGAAAAATACCAACTTGAACAGACTGAATAGCTTTACTATAACTTAACGGTACATTATCTTTAAATTTGGCGACTTGAAGATGAATATTACGAATATTTTCATTTTGGCAAAATTCTATAAGTTCGGGAACTGGCGGATCAGGAATAAGAGAAAGCATCGTTTTTAACTCGAGCCTATATTATTATTATTGTTATTATTATTATTGTCATTGTTATTATTATTATGAAAATATTTAAAATATTTTCTTTAAAATATTGTTGTCAAAATTTGTGATAATAATCATTACAAAGATAAAAGAAGAGAAGAGTAAAAAGAAAAAAAGATATTGATAAAGGTAATTATTTAATTCTTTAATGAAATGATTATTATTATAAATATAAAAAGATATAAAAGAAACCTTTTAAGAAATCGGTAATTTCTATTTTTGGGATATGCTCCTCTATAAACTTCATCGTCGACTATAGCGTATCTAAAAGTTGGAATTATTGGGGGCGGCATTTTATTATTATTTTTTTTATTTTTATTTTTTTTTCTAAAAAAAATCGCCTTTTCATCATATGTCACATGATTAATGTTCTTGTTTAACTGTGCCCGTAAACACACTATGATAATTATTTCAAAAAGAATAAAAATTACTGACTATATTAATTATCCTCCATGATTTACGAAAACATTAAATCACTTCTCAAAACATATTTGAATCCTTTTTTCACTTCTTTTGCTTCCTGATTAATGAAATAAATGAAATAAAAATTTATTAATTAATTATTGAATAAATTACAAGAGAATAAATTAAAATAAATTACAAGAGAATAAATTAAATAAATTACAAAGAGAATAAAATAAATTATCAGAGAAGACAAATTTATTACTTACATGTAATAAGCAATCGTGACCATGTTTATGTAATAATGCCATTCCTCTCTCAGGTTTAACAATTATTTCTTGTTTCTTTGATTTATAAAAAACCGTTTCACCACCCAAGAGTGGAATTTCATGATCATTTTCTCCACCATTTAAATAAATTAATAAAGTCCAATCACTTTTTCTACCTAAAAAATCTTTAACCGAATCATCATAATGTTGTTCAAATCTTTGACCTGTATTATATTTATAAATTCTAATATTCGAATTAAGTCCGGTAACTTTATCATTATTATTATTTTTTAATAAAGAAGAAGTCCATTGTTGAGAATGTTGTTGTTGAGAAATTAATGAACTTAATCCGGTATTGTTATATAAATATTCGGCAAATTTTATATCTTCAATAGAAAATCTATCATTATCTCTAAATGCTTCATCATTTTTTTTCTTGAATGAAGTAGTGGAAATTTGTTCAAGAGGAATATTTTGATCAATAAAATTTATTAGATTTGTACATTCTTGAAAAGTAAGAAAAGAAGGAATTATTACTATTTGATTTTCCAAAAGAGTTTTTAATTTTAAATTAGATTTAAATGATATAATTGGCCATTTTAATAATTTCAAAGAAGGTTTAACAGTTGAATTTATAGAGATTTGATTTTTATCATCATTTTTTACACTTTTTACACTTTTCGCACTTTTTACATTTTTTACATTTTTTGAGGTTTTATTTTTTGGCATATTTTTTTTTTTAAAGTTGAAAATGATAAAAGATATCGTATAACAGAATATCTATTACATTTATATATATATATAGATAATTGTTCTATCACATGTTAACTAATAATAATAATAATAATAAATAATAATAATAAATTTAATAATAATTATTAAATAAAGCAAAGATTTAAACGGATGAAAAAAAAATTCCTTCTTATCAATTGTATTTAAAGAAGAGATTATTATAAAAAAAGAATATAAAGAACTAAAAAATATTCAAAATATTCAAAATATTTAAAATATATTCAATTCATTTTACCTTTACAAATTTCTCAAAACCTTAATATGCCATAACACAAATACTGCATGTACAAAAATATCATATACAGTTCCAACGGAATCTTTCCAATGCAATTCCGCAATTCTCTTTGCTCTCTTAATGTATTCAGTACTTGAATATACCTCAGTATCTTTGGTTTTCTCAACCGAGGTAGCTTTAATATCATTATTATTGTTGTTATCGTTTTTGTTGCTTTCGTTTTTGTTGCTTTCGTTTTTATTATCGTCATTTCCGTTGTTATTGTTATCATCACCTTTATCATCATCATTATTATTGTTGTTATTATTTAATTGTTTTACATTTTCGGACTGTTGAAAAGGATTAAGATTTTCTTGGTTAGAAGTTTCTTGATGATCTTTTGAGATATGTTGTTTGCCATCCGTTTCTAGATTAGGATCATCCAACAATGCTAATAATTGAGTGGAAGACTGACTTTCTTCTCTATTAGATACTTGAGGAGGAGGATTATCATTTGATTCTTTTTTATTAATAATTTCATCTTGAGATATAATTGTTGGAGATTCAGCAGTTGCTGTAACAAATGAAGTAGCAGTAACTGCTGCGGTAGTAGTAACCGCAGTAGTCGATGTGACATCTTCTTGAAGATTAATAATTTTCTCTTTACCCATAAAAACTGTTGTGGTGGTGGTTGTCTTGGTAATTAGAGTTGGAGTAGTATCAAGTGTATCTTGTTCTTGTACTTCTACTTCTTCTTGTACTTCTACTCCTCCTCCTTGTACTTCTACCCCTTCTTCTTTACCTTCTTTATTTTCTCGTCGGTCTTTTTCTTCTTTAGGATTTACTACCGAAGATGATAAAACAACATCATCACCACTAAAATTATCTACTTCCTTTTTAATCTCTTTATCATTTTTATCATTTTTATCCTTTTTATCTTTTTCACCTTTTTCATCTTTTTCATCTTTTTCATCTTTAATATTATTATTACGATTTTTAAAATAATTTTTATATTCAAAGAAACCAACACCAATGTAATAAGTGTGTAATAAGAAATGACCTATCATCAATGATTTGGTAACTATATAAAACATTGTCGTTTCTTCTTCACTTAATGCAATTAATATATTATTATTATCATCATTAAAATTCTTTCTCACATTTTCGAAATTTATAAACACCAAATTTAAAAGACAATAAGAGACCACGACGGTTAAAAAATCAAACCAAAAATATGTATTACGATTCCAAAGTTGTTGAACTGCGTGATAATGATTAGAACCAATAGGAAATCGAATGTTAAATAAAATTTTGGAATGAGCTAAAATGTGAAAGAGTTCAGTGAGCAAAAGAGTAGTGTATATTGAACGAAGTTTAAATTCATCATCAAGAAATGATTTGAACGAGGTGACCATTTTTTTCAAAAAAAAAAAAAAATAATAATTCAAAAAAAAAATCGAATGAAAAGAAATGAATAAAAAAAAAAAAAAGGAAATTGTAGTCAAAAAAAATAAATACAATTTTACATTTATAAATGACGAATAAATGATATCAATTTAACGTTTTGAAAAAGCAATTTATTAAAAATGATATATTTACTTTTTTTTACGAAGATGTAATTCCAAATAATTATGGATTAATGTATTCATGATGCAATTATGCATATGTCGATTTTAATTACTGTCAAGTGACTTTAGATCGCACGTATGACATAATTATAAAAACAACACTCATTCTGTTCGTTCATCAACGCGATTTTTCTTTTTCCCACATCTTAAATCTTTTGAATCTTTTTTTTTGATCTTATAAAAAATGGATAGACAACAAATTGCCTCTCATAACATAATTTCCGAGATTATTAACCTCAAAAAAAAATTCAGTTCCAGTGAGAATATTGAGATTGTTCAAGAAATTCAAGAGGGCGTTAGGAAGATCGATGAGCATATGAACAAAAAAAGCGAACAATATAAGAATGAATTAAGAGGTGAGAAATTTTTATTATTTATTCTATTTATTTTTATTTTATTATTATTAATTATTATTATTATTATTATTTTATTATTTATTAATTTTTCTCGAATGAATTCCAGCTTTAGGTAGAAAATTAAAAACTTTAAAGAATAGCTTCAAGAGACCAACTGAACAAAATGAGCGTGATTTCAATGATCTCATCACAAAACATGAACGAGAAAAATATAATTTAAATAAATCCATTGATAGTTTGAGTGAAGAAACAAAATATCCTTTCTTTTTTTTTTTATATTCGAACAAATAATTTTATTATTTTTTATAAAAATTCTTTGACTTGTGAATTATTTTGATTTACTATTCTCGAAGAATCACTTGATAACTTACAAAAAGAATTGGAAGAATTAGTAAATATCGATATCGAAAATGCCTTTTTACCAAAAAATGATTCTACTTCGTAAGTCTTTATTTTTTTTTTTTTCTTGTGAAATATCATCTTATTATGATTTTCTTACTAAAAAATATTTAAATTTTTTCAGTCTTCAACTTCATATTTATCGTTCTTTGGGTATTCAATTCATTGAAGATCCCAACACACATAAATTGAAAACACGAATTGGTAAATTCTCATTTACACTTTCTTATAATTAAAATTAATTAATTACTTTAATCATTTCACTTAGTGGAATTTATTTTTTTCAAAACAGAAGCACCAAATGATATTCATACAGTAATAGTGGATGATAGACATACACAACATTTCATGGCAAATTATTTATGGGAATTAGCAACTGGTTCTTAATAATTATAATATTATTATTTCAAATTATTCTTTTCATCAATTTTCAAAAAATAGATTAAAGGTAAGTTGTTCATTTATAAAAAAAAAGAGATTTTTGTTTTTATTTTTTTTTCTTAAAAATAAATAAAAAAATAAATATTTAGAAAATTTACAATTCATATTTTCATATATTTTTATTTAATCTTTCCTATTTCTTTGTAAAAGTTGACAAATCCATTAGTACTGACATCATGAGATGAGATCTGGGTGACATTTTTATTTTGTAATTATGGTAAAATCTTTTTATTCCAAGATTCAACTCCTCTCACACAAATATTATAAAAGTTAATAATAAGATTAGTTGTCAATTGATTAAAAATTGATAGTTAAAAAGATAAAATTCTACGTTATCCCATTGATCAAAAGAGTTAATATCCCAAATAATTCCTTGTACAAAGATTTTTATGCTCATACAAAGCATTAAAGATCAAAGAGTACCCGGTGTTAATTTTTGAAACATGATACTATTCGCTGGTCAAATCCCTTGAAAACTTTATGAGATGTTATCAAATCCTTATTTGGATCTTTACTTAATTCGGCTTCTACGGTTTTAATGCTTTTCCAATCATCGAAACTCCAATTTGTGTGAAAAAATTTGACAAAAGAATCTCATGATGTAAACCATTAGAAATGAGTAATTTGGTTGAATTGTTGTTGTCTCAATGAATTATTTATTTATTCAATCAAAATAATCTTATCCCAAATTATATATTATGCATTTGAATCCAAACAAAAATGAATTTGAAATTTCTGAAGGTAAAATTATTTTAACTTATCAAATGATTTGATAAATCACATCACACCAGTTGACTTTTGACCAATAAAAATAAAGCACATGATTTATAATGTGATAATAAAATAAGCGTGCACATGATTTATAGCGTTGCAATTTTAATTTTTATTTAATAAAAACGTAGGGTTGTATAACGGTGGAGCAAAGGCCAATCCAGAACAAATGTATCGGGCTGGTACTCCACAGGTTGCTCCGGGTTGCTCCATGAAATAATAATTATAATTATGAATATATATAAAATCGAAAATAATTATCGATAGTCGCTACATATAAAAATTTTTATTTTAATAAGCAAATTTCAAAAACGGTTCTAAGTAATCTCAAATATGAGGATAAATTACATATCATATTTAAAGAACAAACATATGGCACCAAAATTGAGGGAACGATTAGCGATTAAAGTTCGAACGGATGAAAAATTTTAAAATCACAATTATTCATTCAATTTTTATGGTATAAGTCTATTCTTTTATATAATATGCAAACCACTCTTGTCTTTAAAGTTACTTAGTACCGCTTTTAATATTTACTTATTAAAATAAAAAGTTATTTATATATATTAATGATTGATGATTTTGTATATACAGTGGCAATCAAAAGTATTGCATCACCTGACTTTTCGCCTTTAAAAAATTCTGCCTCCTGAATATACTTGCACGTAAAATTATTTTGGAATCCGAAATTGCAATTTCAGAGAAAAAAGTCAAAATAGATTTTCATAGAAGACAAAATTATTTTACTTAAAACCTGAAATTTTTTGACTATCCAGATAAATTCCTTGATTAAAGATACACTTAACTAGGTATTTTTTTTACTTCCATATATAAAATAGATTCTGAGTAAATCTCAAAAAGATAAAATATTCCAAAAATCAGAAATCAATTTTGGAAACATGTATACTCCTGAACAATCGATTTTAGAACAACAGTTATTATACTCATTTTAATCTTTAAGTTTTGAAAAATTTTTTAGATTTTTTTTTTGTGCCAAATTAATAATACTAATTTTTCACAAATGAATAATTGACATCAACAACTGGCACTTAGTAAAATTTCAATTATTGAACAAAATTTTACATGGCACAACTACAGTAATGATCATTATGGAATTGATCATCCCTTCCAAGATGAATTAATATACCAAATTTCAAAATAATCAGGCTAGTGGTTGCTATATAATTCACTCTCAAAAATTGAAATTTTACATATAAAATTTTTTTTTATTGTTTCATATATAAAATTTCAATTTTGAAAGTGAATTACATAGCAACCACCAGTTCAATCATCATGAAACATATGGACAGATTGAACTTTTATAGAGTCACCTGACGTGATATTTAAAAATTCTTATATAAATCATATAAATAATTATCTATAAAATAAACACATCACATCCAATCAATAAATATTTTTTTCCTATTTTGACAACTTGTCAAAGTTAATCATACTCTGATTATGATAGTAATTTCAAAATTGTTATAAAACAATAAAATATTTAAAGAATCAAAGTAATAGTGATTTTATTTTATTTTTTTGAATTTATTTTGAATTTTTGTATATATAAATTAACAATATTCAATTACAAGTCTATAATGACTCAGAAATTTGGTGAGCACGAAGTTTCAAATCGGATACCACTACAAGAAATTAAATTTATTGATCCATATAATCAAGACTGTTTCAAATTTACAAAAAACTCTGAATCAAGAACAAATTATAGTTAATAATGATAATTTGCAACATTCTTTTTATCATAATTATCCTTCTAACCCTTATATATATGCTGTTAGAATAATGAGTGATAAAAATTATTCTCAAACCTATAAAATTATATCACTTGAAGAATGTCCAATAAAATTATTATATACATGAAAAGATAAGAGTGTAGCTTATCCCTTAAACCTAGGGTTGGGTTGGGTTCATATTATAGCGGAGCAATGGTCAACCCAACCCAACCCGGGTTAAATGTATCACTGGTACTCCGCGGGTTGCTCCG